TATATAAATACACCAGACAAAGCACCGCTCGCAGAGACTCTTTATACCCGGACTTTATCGCTATTTATACTTCTCTCTAACTTCGCATTTGTGTCGTATTTGTCAAAGGGGTGATAAAGAAAAGTCGAGAAGTCTACAATATATTTTTATTAACATTACATACAAAAGAAGCATTAGTCTTAGGGTAAGGCCGATGCTGGACACATAAAGAAATCACTGTCAGAATCGCTATCAAAATCACTATCAAAATTACGTGGGACTGACAAGTGGAAGAAGTGTCTGTTATTACGACTGAGCTGGAAGTACAAGACACAACACCCACTGACACTAGAGGAAATGAACTAAAAGAGGATCTAGTAAATTCTACAATTATTGGAACAGAGAGAGTTGTACACCTGGCTTGTGGAGAAGCCACAGCCTCCCTCTTGGCAAGACACAGGTGGTACAGGACACATTCACGGACGACTACTACCATTTCTTTTTATGACCATGACACATACACATCCGGAGGGTCTGCTCAAGTTTAAAATGTTATGGAACTAAGGATAATAATATAACACAAGCAAATGTCTTTTATTTTTTTTTTGCTGAGAACAGAATTGTTGTGCCATTTATAGCATTATTTTATAAGAAAATTACATTATATATATATATATATATATATATATATATATATATATATATATATATATATATAATATATATAATATATATATATAATATATATATATATATATATATATATATATATATATATATATATATATATGAACCTATAAATGTTATTGTTATCGTCATCACCGAAGCATCAATACAGGAGTTAATTTTATATTTTATGCACTCTTGCTTCCCACCACCAGCCACTAAAGAACACTTTTTTCAGATACAACTACGACTAGACAGCCCAAGTAGTAACTCTGATTACACACGAAAGTTGAACCTGGTGACCGCGATGTTCGTGCTGCTAACTCTGTTGAACAATAGTGATATACGAAGGTCCAAGCTGATACCATTACTGAACAAGAGTGAAATTTGAATGTTCTATCTAATCCTCATATTGAACAATGGTAAAATATAACCAGGGGAAAACAAAATTACTAGATATAGGAATATCTTGATAAACATCTTCAAAAGACATTACAAAAAGATTTCAACATTTTTAATCATAAAAATTCTGGCTTTTATTAACTGCAATAAAACTATGCAACTATGAAGTGAAGCAAGCTCATATATAGATAAATAGATAGATAGATAGAGCAAACAAGACCTGGGAAGCAGTACACAATTCACAATGGATCGCACAATATTGTAATACCTTCCCTTATTGCTGTAACATCGTACGAAACAGAGCGAATTTCCTGCAGTAACTAAAGGAAAGTGATGACTACACATGTTGTGTTTACCCAAACATTCCAGGATCATGCTTCAGTTGCCACACTCTGGAAACACAATGTCTCACAGCCATGAGGCACACACACACAATCTTGATAATTTATGTCAGAACGAAATTCACAGTACCGTTGCTGTAGTAGTGAAAGTCACGAATTCGAATATGTGTGGGGCCCAGGTCTTATATATTTTACATATAAATTTTTAAAAATATATATTATATAATATATATATATATTAAAATATATATAATATATATATATGTATATATATATATATATATATAATATATTTTTATAATATATATATATATAAAAAGAATTTTTAGCGCATTTAAAACAGAGGATGAGTTTTATATACACATTGTTCGTTTTGACCTAAATAACTACTTAAAAATATCCTTCTTTTTTCTTTTCTTCTCTCTTCTTCTTCTTCTTCTTCTTCTTCTTCTTTTTCTTCTTCTTCTTCTTCTTCTCTTCTTCTTCTTCTTCTTCTCGCTAACCACAAACCACTTATTATTCTAATAACCAGACACCATCACAATGCCACTTAAACACTTATTACTAACCACTTAACTATTAACTAATAAACACTGTTTAATCTTAACCTAACATCGAGCATTCTGGTGAGTCTTGCTCCTGAGTGGCACCAACACCACTCAGGTTGTATTAACATGAATTACCTTAGCAATAAACTTTCCCAGTAACATAAAAGACTGATGCTTCGGTGGTTTTTCATTTCAATAGAAATTTATCAAATGGCCTCTTTGGGGGAAATAAAATTTAAGTGTACTTATTAGGGGGGTGAAATATTTGCTATATTCATGGATTTTGTGAAATATGTCTTTATGTTATGTATTTGAGAAGCAATAATACAGGAACAACAATTCGGAAAATGATTTCCTGAATCTATTTAAATTTCATATAAAAATATTGAAATATATACTTTACGGACGCCTCCATTGTATTAAAGTGTGTCCATATGTGTCCAAGCTATGTATGAGAAAACATATATATATATATATATATATAATATATATATAAATATATATATATATATATATATATATATATATATATATATATATATATATGGCTGAAACTACATTACTGCTATACCTAAAAGTTTTGATATCATTCATGCATGAGATGCGTGAGAGGTGGGTATTGGCAGGCTTCCCCTGGGCATTATACCCATGCTGCAGGAAGCTTACATGCTGGGGCATCAAGACTGTTGCTACTGGTGGAACACAAGACACGCGCCATTAATGAATGTGACAAAATGCTACGTAGTTCGTGGACTAACTTTATCGAGGGACCTGAAGTGTTTTCTCGTAGACCTGAACGGTGGTAAAAGTGTGAATTTGGGGAGAAGAGATGGAGTGTTGATATAAGAAGAAATCTCACGGGATGTGGTGCCTTGATGCTGGCAAAAAGGGCTCTTGATACACAGAAATACCCCGAGGTACCCTGATTTCAAGCTGAATCTTATTTCCTCCCTTTCCTCAGGGGTTCTTTGCCCCGTACAGGTTTAGAGCTTCCCACAGTTGTATTACTAATATTACTAGGTGTTATACAACAGTTTATTGTACCTAATGTGTCTAAATAATAAACTTAACTTAAGCTAATTTTAAGTGAATTGGTCAAGTAATTTGTGTTAATTTAGTAAGATATTTACGTTTGAGGTGATCCACGCAGATTAGTGGACAGTGAGGCTGATAGACGCATATCAGCGCTGTGCGTCGGCAGCAACGCACACTGCAACACGTCATTTACTCCACAACGTATCTACAGCTACATCTAAACGGCAGTGTGGGGCAGGCAAAGGGAAGCTGGGGGTCAGGCAACGGAAGCTGTGGGTCAGGCAACGGAAGTTGGGGGTCAGGCAACGGAAGCTATGGGTCAGGCAACGGGTGTTGTAGGCCCAGCAACCCACATCACTTGACATGTCAAAACTGAACCTTGCCTGTTAAATGAATAACCCAACCCACGTATTTACAAAATACGGGATAAATATACATATATATATCTATACTAAGAAATAAAAAATGGCTCTCCGTCTTTTAATATACGATCCCCTGTTAATATGGAATCGATTTCGCCACCTAGAAGATTAATCTCAGTAATGGTATAGAAGACAGAATTATCACAGAGATTTCAAAACTATACCAGACATCACTTATAGCAAGATTACAGTGGAATAAAACTTAAAATAATTTGATTTCCATGTCTCGTATATAGATAATACGAGTCATTTAAATATCTTAATATATCCTTAAAATACCTTTAAGATATGTTAAAACATTTGATTGTGTTAGCAAAGTATTAAAAATAAAAAGAAAATATTTATTGTCTCTCATCTATTGTTATTCTATTTTGTCATATTCTCTAAGCTTATATGTTAATTTCCAGATAAGTAACAGGAGTTTAGAGGGCATTTTAGTTAAAAAATTCTGCTAATTTTTGATAATTAGCATTTAATGTCAGACGGCTGGGTAATGGAACTCGAAACCTATCGACTTCACTAGTCATTAGGTTATGTTAGGTAAGATTTGTCAGGAAATAGGAGAAATGTGTCCTGACGCGGGTCATAGTCATAAGATAACCCGCAGCTAGAGCTTTTGGTCATCTGACCGAGGCCTTCCACTGGCTTACCGGTCAACCTCTTTAAAAATTAAGGTTATAATTATAATAATTTAGCATGGGTCTTTAAGGCTGTTTGTAACCTGTTCACCACCGGATGAGAACTTTAATACATAAAATCTGGATTGAAATAAACTATTAGTGTATATACACTGAGAGAAATACGCCTCTCAGTGTATATACACTGAGAGAAATACGCCTCTCAGTGTATATACACTGAGAGAAATACGCCTCTCAGTGCATATACACTGAGAGAAATACGCCTCTCAGTGCATATACACTGAGAGAAATACACCTCTCAGTGTATATACACTGAGAGAAATACACCTCTCAGTGTATATACATTGAGAGAAATACACCTCTCAGTGTATATATACTCTGAGAGAAATACACCTCTCAGTGTATATACACTGAGAGAAATACACCTCTCAGTGTATATACACTGAGAGAAATACACCTCTCAGTGTATATACACTGAGAGAAATACACTTCTCAGTGTATATACACTGAGCGAAATGAACCTCTCAGTGTATATACACTGAGAGACATACACCTCTCAGTGAATATATATCCTCTGCAGTGAAATATATAGCTACGTGTAGCTACATATAGCTACATGTAAATACTGAAAAATATTGAAATGTATAAGTCATATTCACATATTAAAATATAAATGTTTAATTTTATTGCCCACTCTCGAAACTATCACCAAGACTGACTTTTTTTCCATAACAAAACATAGAAGCAAAACTTATAATTTGTTCTCAGCCAAGACTTTTTATTTTCTGATATAACTAGTGTTGGTTTTTTCGCTCCGGCTTGAACTTTCTCTCTTTCTTTCTCTCTCTCTCTCTCTCTCTCTCTCTCTCTCTCTCTCTCTCTCTCTCTCTCTCTCTCTCTCTCTCTCTCTCTCTCTCTCTCTCTCTCTCTCTCTCTCTCTCTGTCTCTCTCTCTCTCTCTCTTCTCTCTCTCTCTCTCTCTCTCTCTCTCTCTCTCTCTCACACACACACACACGTTGAGGTCCTGAATTACTCCTTATACTGTGGAGATTCTTCATGCATGGGAGAGAGCGCCTGGGTGGCTGTGAAGGCTGCCATGTTGGAAGCCAAGTTGGACTGGCCAGGGAAGCCTCCGTAGGTAGAGCGAAACAACACCTCCGGACTGTTGTAGAACTGACTCTTGGGCTGGAGGGTTATATGAGCTACATTGAATTTGACGCCAGGCAAATTCACCAAACATATTTATCATGCTTTTAAGCCAAAATTTGCAGACAAAACCTATGAAACATTAAGCATCCCCAGCATTTCAAAAAAATATTAAACTTAGATAATAGATTATGAAAATACATCAAAAATTAATCTTAAGTTGAATAGTATTGCTCCATTCTATGTTAGTTTTAGCAAGTTTAGGTGGTAGTTAATTAGTGTTAGTAAAGAACTGAAAGTCAACATACTGAGTTAATTTACATGAACGTATTTATTAATCTGCAAGAAATAAAAATCTAAAATAATATATATATATATATTATATATATATATATATATATATATATATATATATATATATAATATATTATATATATATATATATATATATATATATATATAATATATATATATACATATGCGTGTGTGTGTGTGTGTACATGAAAAACAGTGACTAGAAAATGTACCCAAAATAAATGCAAATATCTGAGATAAATATTTGGATCAATCACAAGTGGATCAGTGAGAATCAATTTCATCAACTCTGTAAAGTCAGAAACTATGTAACAATGGAAAACAATGAATGAATTGTAAACAAGAGATTACCACACTAATATGAGCCTCGTATGACGTAACAGTAGCGAAGGTAGTATAAACAATGGTGTTTACAGAAGTATTATCATAGCCAGTGTGGAACTTTGTGTTTATGCCGTAACTAGACAATTTACTATTAGAAGAATAGTAAACCTTAGGTAAGTCGTAGTGAACTACGACTTAATAAATAAACGGAAGAATGGAAAAGGGATGCTGTAGACCATTGTGACTTACGTGGGAAGCTCTAGTGAGCTCTGTGGCTCAGTGGCTATTGGGTGGTTCCTGCTACAATGATGGACCTCGGTTCGAGTTCCCGTCCATTCTTCTGTTTATTTCAGCTGGCTTATATCACTGCTCCAGTATATATCAGTGGTGTGTCTTCACGCTGGGGAAGAACTCTTAAGACAGGGAACTGAAGGTACACTTCCTTTGTCCTCAGACAGAACCCGATTTCCTCGTGTTCCTCAAAGCTCTACATAACCTCTCCGGGTTAAGCGCTTCTCCATAAATTTAATGATGATAATACTTTAATATTGTGGAAAGCACCTCCTCTAGCGCTAACCTGGGAACCAAAGCCTCGGTGAGGAGAACAAAGGTGCTTCCGAGACGAGTATTTTCTTACCGTACCATCCCCTTAAATGTGTTCCAATGTTTTTAAAAGAATTATTTTGAGAAACATAAAAAAACATATTTACTCTTACCTGGAGTGTGTTGGTTGAAATACAAGCTGCTGGCCTCTACGATGAGTACACCAAGAGTGCACAAAGAGTGCACAAAGAGTGCACATAAACACACACACACGTGTATATACAAAAGCTTACTTTCTATAGTGGTTAATGCTCTTCTATTGAACAGGAGTGAAAGAAATATACAATTGATAAGCAGAATATTTACTAACTCAGGTAAAAAAAGCAAACATACAGTATTTATATACATTACTTGCCAACACTGATCAAAGTATTTTGAAATAAAAGACTGGAATGAATAGAGAAATTGGTTAAATCTCTGAGTGCTACGTGAGGAAGGTAAAGAAGCAGGATCTGGAGTTTATCTGGAGTGAGTTCCGGGGGTCAACGCCCCCGCGGCCCGGTCTGTGACCAGGCCTCCTTAGGTCAGTGTCCCAGGATGCGACCCACACCAGTCGACTAACACCCAGGTACCCATTTTACTGATGGGGAACATAGACAACAGGTGGAAAGAAACACGTCCAATGTTTCTACTCTGGCTGGGAATCGAACCCAGGCCCTCACCGTGTGAAGCGAGAGCGTTAACCACCAGGCCACCAGACCCTGATGTAGGTTGTGCTCTGATAAAACACATCACGTGCATACCAAACCTTTATTTACAAGAGATGCTTCTCCCCCACGTAGAGACTTATCAACTCTACATAGAGTGAACCATTGCTTCTGTTAATAAATATTTGCTCAGAGGCATTGCATGTTTTTATCATGTCAACAAATCCTGCCAGGTAAGGTTTATCCTGTAGAAAGAAAGAGAGAGATAGAGGATATTGTGGCAGTCACTAGCAGGTAATCTGATTGTTGTTATTAGTAAGTGGTAAATAGTGGGAGGGTGTTGTGGAGGGTCAATGATCTTACAGATGGACTAGAGAACTGGGGGTTGAATGTGACTGAAGGATTCTCTACAACGCAGGAAGCTAGGTGGCTAGGAAGGTGGTTAGCAGAGTAGAAGGCAACTGTAGAATAGAGGCCAGCTCTGGCCTCTTTAAGAATAGCAAAAACAGAAGCAAAAGCACATGTACATTTGGGGTTATTCCAGCCAAGAATTAATTACTCCACACCATAATGATAGTCAAAACTGTTAGCAGGTAAATGCTTCTCTAGTTTCAGAAGCCTCAAAAATAAAACTGAGAAACACAAAACTATATATAATCTATCAAATCTTTCCTCGTAAGCGATACTGTCTGTCATATGTTCGTAGACGTGTCGTAGAGGGCTACATCAACTCCTCTATACACAACTGCACATCAACAAGCAAGAGCAACTATTGGTAAAATATGGTAGGGATATGTAGATTAATTTTTCGGCAAGAAAACAGGAGCTCGGATGTAGTGACGTTGTATACACAGAGAATGGAACTCTGAGGACGGGTCGGGAGGAGTTTGTAAACACCAGGGAGAGAGCGAATCCCAGACGTCCTTTTAAGGCATTTTGGGAAAAGCTTTTCCTTGGCTGGAGGGATATTCAAAGCTCCGAAATATCCTAAGAATGCAGAGCGGAGGATAGATGCATCCTACGGTCCTTCCTAGTGGCTTCCTGGAGGTGAAGGCTAGCCAGAGAGTACTAGAGATCCTCTGGCTGGGGTAACAATGAGTTCAGCTCTGAGGAGAAGAGTATCACTTGTGCTGGGAGAAAAGGAAATATTCTCAGTACCTTCTCAGCAGTAATAAAAATTAGAGAAAATTAAAAAAAAATGTAATTTGTTTCTAAAAGATAATCTGAGACTACAGCTGTATATATCAAGCACTTGAAGACACTCAACTTACGTCTAATAATAAGCTATAAAGGTTCTTTTGTATAGAGATGGGAAACTATTGATTTATTTATGTATAGGGATGGGAGACTACAAGTTCTTTTTTACAGACAGTGGTGGGAGGTTATGGAATATCCTGTGCATAGTGTTGGAAGACTATTGTTCCATCCATTAATTGGGCACAATAGATATAATACACTATAGATGAGTATCTATAGTGTATTAGTGATAAAGATGTGTATCTCGCTCTATATACAGAGATGTGTGTGTGTGTGTGTGTGTGTGTGTGTGTGTGTGTGTGTGTTGTGTGTGTGCGTACAGTAGTATTATATTGTTGTTAGTATATTTATTGTATGTATCATATATATATATTATATATATATATACAGAGATGGTTGTATCTTTCTCAGAATATATACAATGAGAGGTTACTGTAGTGCTGACCACCATCAGTGTTACTGACCAGCAGTTTAGTTGGCCGTCAGTGTTACTGACCAGCAGTGTAGCTGACCATCAGTGTTACTGACCAGCAGTGTAGCTGACCATCAGTGTTACTGACCAGCAGTTTAGCTGACCATCAGTGTTACTGACCAGCAGTGTACTGACCATCATGTTGTTACTGACCAGCAGAGTAGCTGACCATCAGTGTTACTGACCAGCAGTGTAGCTGACCATCAGTGTTACTGACCAGCAGTGTAGCTGACCATCAGTGTTACTGACCAGCAGTGTAGCTGACCATCAGTGTTACTGACCAGCAGTGTAGATGACGAGCATGCAGTAGACAGACCTTAAAACTAATCAAAGCAGCTGTTACATCAATCACTAATCAAAACTAATCTAAACAAGAAGCGGAATTATCTACAGTAAATATGAATACGAAGCAATATTACAAGCTTGCCAACAGATTAATGAACGTAGAGTGCGCACCTAACACCTGGACTTACCTGAGGAGGCAATGGGAACGGTTCACAGTTTCCCATTTTCTGCCAATGATGTTTCTTAGTGCGATAGAAGAAAACGAAGCCTGTCGCTCCAGCGCCCAGGAGGACTAGAAGCGTCAGTACAGCGGCGATTACGGTCGATGTTGGTGTACATACGTAATCGTCAGCTACGTAGGTCTCTGTGGGGGAGAGGTGGATAGGGGAGGGTATTCGGTTTGAACTCTATCTACTACACGAGGGTCATTAAAGTTGAATTTCACCTGTACTCATCAATGTTTTAATCATACCGAATAATAGAGGTTAAGTCAATACTCGGTGTATATATATGCTGAGAATTAGTGTATATACGTTTCTCCATGTGCATCTAGTGAGAAATATATACCTCTCGTTGCATATACGCTGAGCAATATACACGCCTTTGTGCATATATGCTAGATGTACGCCTCTTAGAGTGTGTGGTGTGTGTGTGTTTGTGTAAGGTGTGTGTGTGTGTGTGTGTGTGTGTGTGTGTGTGTGTGTGTGTGTGTGTGTGTGTGTGTGTGTGTGTGTGTGTGTGTGTGTGCGTGTGTGTGTGTGTGTGTGTGTTGTGTAGGTGTGTGTGTGTGTGTGTGTGTGTGTGTGTGTGTGTGTGTGTGTGGTGTGTGTGTGTGTGGTGTGTGTGTGCGTGTGTGTGTGTGAGTGTGTGTTCCTTCAGGGGACGAGTCTCTCCTACCCCCTCATCTGAATTACTCACGATCAGTCCACGATATCCTCTGGCTTACGAGCCGGGCCATACCCATTCGTCAAACTATGCATGGAATCTACAATGAAACTCACCATCCCGGTAACGGTGTCTATGACGATCGTCCCAGCCTTCAGGCATGGTGTCCTCCCCCACCACCAGCTACAATAATGAAAAAATCTATTAAAAATTTTAATGGAATATTTAGAATATTGTCGATAAGAAAAAAAAAGTTGAAATATTGTAATATTTTCACTATTTTTAGTTTTTTTGCCAAACATATTTAATATTTTTTCTACTAAAATTAAGAAATACTAATATACATATATATATACATATATATATATATATATATATATATATATATATATATATATATATATATATATATATATATATATATATATATATACTAAAGAAGAGTTTTATTTATACCTTGCCTTGCTGATGTCCAATTGAAAGCCAGATGAAATTTAGAAAATATATGTAACTTTCAGAAAAAAAGATAACATTTGTAATCTTATTTAGTCTCTGCATTAAAATAACAATCATAACCATAATAATAACACTAATGTTGATGGCAACAACAGCAATAATAATAATAATAATAATAATAATAATAATAATAATAATAATAATAATAATAATAATAATAATAATAATAATAATAACAATAACATACCGAGAGAGCAACAGGTATATCGCTTGGCATCTCAGTTTTGCCTTTCTCCTTTTCCAGTTCCTCGTCTACATCCACTCCCTCTGTGGTGGTGGTGAAGGCGGTGGTGGTGAAGGTGGTGCTGCTGGAGATCTCTCTGGTGGAGCGGGAAGTGGAGGTGCTGGTGGTGGTGCTGGTGGTGGTGCTAGCACTAGTGGTGTTGAGTGAACGTTTCGTGGTTCTGAAGGGTGTCATGGTGGAGTATAGTTTTAGTGCCTTCACTTACAAGATATACATGTGTGACTTATTCATCATTAGTATCCTATTCATCATCAGTGGAGTCTTATTCATCATGGTTTACCACTGTTTCATAAGTTATTTATGGATATTTTTTGAGTACTTACTCAGAATATTTTTTAATAACTTTTGCTAATTTTAAACACTAGTTTGTATTTAGCATTCTTTACCATGTCCCCTTTTCCATCCCTGTTCTATTTCCTATTACCTCTTTTGTTCTCCTCCCTGTATTGTACTTCCCTTAATGTGTAGTGCTGTGTTGTGTAGTGTTGTGTTGTGTAGTGTTGTGTTGTGTAGTGCTGTGTTGTGTAGTGGTGTGTTGTGTAGTGCTGTGTTGTGTAGTGTTGTGTTGTGTAGTGTTGTGTTGTGTAGTGTTGTGTTGTGTAGTGCTGTGTTGTGTAGTGCTGTGTTGTGTAGTGTTGTGTTGTGTATGTTGTGTTGTGTAGTGTTGTGTTGTAGTGTTGTGTTGTGTAGTGCTGTGTTGTGTAGTGCTGTGTTGTGTAGTGTTGTGTTGTGTAGTGCTGTGTGTGTAGTGCTGTGTTGTGTAGTGTTGTGTTGTGTAGTGCGTGTTGTGTACTGCTGTGTTGTTGTGTAGTGCTGTGTTGTTAGTATTTGTGTTTGGTGTTTGTGTAGTGTTGTGTTGTGTAGTGTTGTGTTGTGTAGTGCTGTGTTGTGTAGTGTTGTGTTGTGTAGTGCTGTGTTGTGTACTGCTGTTGTTGTGTTGTGTAGTGCTGTGTTGTGTAGTGTTGTGTTGTGTAGTGCTGGTTGTGTACTGCTGTGTTGTGTAGTGCTGTGTTGTGTAGTGCTGTGTTTGTGTAGTGTTGTGTGTGTAGTGCTGTGTTTGTACGCTGTTGTGTAGTGTTGTGTGTGTTAGTGCTGTGTTGTGTAGTGTTTGTTGTAGTGCTGTGTTGTGTACTGTTTGTGTTGTGTAGTGCTGTGTTGTGTAGTGCTGTGTGTGTAGTGCTGTGTTGTGTTGTGTAGTGCTGTGTTGTGTAGTGTTGTGTTGTGTAGTGCTGTGTTGTTGTACTGCTGTGTTGTGTTGTGTAGTGCTGTGTTGTGTAGTGTTGTGTTGTGTAGTGCTGTGTTGTGTAGTGTTGTGTTGTGTAGTGCTGTGTTGTGTAGTGTTGTGTTGTGTATGCTGTGTTGTGTACTGCTGTGTTGTGTTGTGTAGTGCTGTGTTGGTAGTGCGTGTTGTGTAGTGCTGTGTTGCGTAGTGTTGTGTTGTGTAGTGTTGTGTTGTGAGTGCTGTGTTGTGTAGTGTTGTGTTGTGTAGTGTTGTGTTGTGTAGTGCTGTGTTGTGTAGTGCTGTGTTGTGTAGTGCTGTGTGTGTAGTGTTGTGTTGTGTAGTGTGTGTTGTGTTGTGTAGTGCTGTGTTGTGTAGTGTTGTGTTGTGTAGTGCTGTGTTGTGTAGTGTTGTTTGGTAGTGTTGTGTTGTGTAGTGCTGTGTTGTGTAGTGCTGTGTTGTGTAGTGCTGTGTTGTGTAGTGTTGTGTTGTGTAGTGTTGTGTTGTTTGTGTAGTGCTGTGTTGTGTAGTGTTGTGTTGTGTGTGCTGTGTTGTGTAGCTGTGTTGTGTAGTGTTGTGTGTGTGTAGTGTTGTGTTGTGTTGTGTAGTGCTGTGTTGGTATGTTGTGTTGTGTAGTGCTGTGTTGTGTAGTGCTGTGTTGTGTAGTGTTGTGTTGTGTAGTGTTGTGTTGTGTAGTGCTGTGTGTGTAGTGCTGTGTTGTGTAGTGCTGTGTTGTGTAGTGCTGTGTTGTGTAGTGTGTGTTGTGTATGTTGTGTTGTGTAAGTGCTGTGTTGTGTAGTGCTGTGTTGTGTAGTGCTGTGTTGTGTAGTTTGTGTTGTGTAGTGTTTGTTGTGTTGTGTATGCTGTGTTGTGTAGTGTTGGTGTTGTGTAGTGCTGTGTTGTGTAGTGTTGTGTTGTGTAGTGTTGTGTATGGTAGTGCTGTGTTGTGTAGTGCTGTGTTGTGTAGATGCAGTGTTGTGTAGTGTTGTGTTGTGTATGTTGTGTTGTGTTGTGTAGTGCTGTGTTGTGTAGTGTTGTGTTGTGTAGTGCTGTGTTGTGTAGTGCTGTGTTGTGTAGTGTTGTGTTGTGTAGTGTTGTGTTGTGTTGTGTAGTGCTGTGTTGTGTATGTTGTGTTGTGTAGTGCTGTGTTGTGAGCTGCTGTTGTGTAGTGTTGTGTTGTGTATGTTTGTTTGTGTAGTGCTGTTGTGTAGTGCTGTGTTGTGTAGTGCTGTGGTGTGTAGTGCTGTTTGTGTAGTGTTGTGTTGTGTAGTGTGTGTTGTTATGCTGTGTGTGTAGTGCTGTGTGTGTATGCTGTGTTGTGTAGTGCTGTTTGGTATGTTTGTTTGTGTATGCTGTGTTGTGTAGTGTGTGTTGTTAGTGTTTGTGTTGTAGTGTTGTGTTGTGTAGTGTTGTGTTGTGTAGTGCTGTTTGTGTAGTGCTGTGTTGTGTAGTGTTGTTTTGTGTATGCTGTTTGTGTAGTGTTGTGTTGTGTAGTGCTGTGTTTTTGTAGTGTTGTTTGGTAGTGCTGTGTTGTGTATGTTGGTGTTGTGTAGTGCTGTGTTTTGTAGTGTTTGTTTGTGAGTGTTGTGTTGTTAGTGCTGTGTTGTGTAGTGTGTGTTGTGTATGCTGTGTTGTGTAGTGTTGTTGTGTTGTGCTGTGTTGTGTTGTGTAGTGCTGTGTTGTGTAGTGTTGTGTTGTGTAGTGGGTGGGGTTGTGTAGTGTTGTGTTTGTAGTGTTGTGTTGTGTAGTGCTGTGTTGTGTAGTGCTGTGTTTGTAGTGCTGTTTGTGGTAGTGTGTGTTGTGTAGTGCTGTGTTGTGTATGTTGTGTTTGTTAGTGCTGTGTTGTGTAGTGTTGTGTTGTGTAGTGTTGTGTTGTGTAGTGTTGTGTTGTGTAGTGTTGTGTTGTGTAGTGCCCGTGTTGTGCACTGCTGTGTTGTGTTGTGTAGTGCTGTGTTGTGTAGTGCCCGTGTTGTGTAGTGCTGTGTTGTGTATGTTGTGTATCCTGTGTTGTGTAGTGCTGTTTTGTGTGGTCTGTGTTTTTGTAGTGCTGTATTGTGTGGTGTTGTGGGTTTTGTAGTGCTGTGTTGTGTAGTGTTGGGGTAGTCCGTGTTGTGTAGTGCTGTTTGTGTAGTGCTGTGTTGTGTAGTGCTGTATTGTGTAGTGTTGTGTTGTGTAGTGTTGTGTTGTGTAGTGCTGTGTTGTGTAGTGGTGTGTTGTGTAGTTGTTGTGTTGTGTAGTGCTGTGTTGTGTAGTGGTGTGTTGTGTAGTGCTGTGTTGTGTAGTGTTGTGTTGTGTAGTGCTGTGTTGTGTAGTCCTGTGTTGTATAGTGTTTTGTAGTCCTGTGTTGTGTAGTGTTGTGTTGTGTAGTGTTGTGTTGTGTAGTGCTGTGTTGTGTAGTGCTGTGTTGGATAGTGCTTTTCCCACTCCCCTTCACCAGGGGACAGTATCCTTCACCCCACCTCACCTCGTAGCCATTGGCATCAAAGTCTCCTCGGAATCTTCGACGGGTTCCAAGCTGAAGGTGAAGGAGTGTTCTGTTGTCCCGTCTGTCGAGAACTCAACGTGGGTCGCCTTTGCCTCACCTTCTAAATCAAAGCTCTCGCTCGTGTTTCCAGAATTACTACGACGACGACGACGACCGTACGACACTACACCTGAGCCACACGGCACCTGAGAACGACACACGCAGCACGTCAGTCGTATATTCAAGCTATAGATCACATTCGCAATTCTGTAATTGTTAATGAATGCATCTTCCCTTCCCTATTTCCAGCGCATCGTTGTACGAACTATATGGATTCAGGACTTTTTACAGTAGATGGAATAAGTCACAATTAACTGATACACTGAAAATTAAAAGTAGACGACATTTCGGTCCATCCTGGACCATTACAGAATCACTCTGGATCTAGCAATGGTCAAAAAGGAACCAAAACGTATTTCAATTTTCATTTTAAATTTGTGGATTAGTTGTGGACCGTGCCAGCTATGGTATTGTCACCTTTATTGTGATAGGTTTCAGGTCTGTCAAGGAATCAAGCATTCTGACCCACTCAGTCATGCATACGACTTGAGCATGTATTTCATTAGAAAACATCTTGTAACTATGGCGGACTTCGACGTTTCAACGCGGTTTGCAGATTTTTCTTCATTCATACCTGAAATTTTAAGTACACGCTTCGGGGTATTAGAGCAAGAACCTTGATTTACACAATCCCCGCTGACAATCTCATATACCCAGAGCTTCAAATAGATGATTAAAACAGATCTACGCTTGTCGATATCCACAATACAGATACCCAAGCGTAGCACATGTGTCTTATTCATCAGCTTGTCTATTTCGTTTACCAATAGAATAAAACACAAGCTAAGCATCGTACCGGGTCGCATCGTTCTTGGCAGAATCTCACAGTGGCCACGAAGTTGACCCGGGCTGTGGAGGGGAACCTGAAAGCCTTGAAGTCCCCGAAAAGACTCTTCGTACGCTCCTCCAGCTGCAGCTCCGGGAAGATGGCTGGGTAGCGAGGACACCTGCCGAGAACAGAGAGAGTGTTGATGTGGTAGGACTGGTAATGGTGTGGACGTAAACAGGCTTGGAAAGGGTATAATGATGAGGGGGATGGGTATGGCAGGCCTGGAATGAAAGAAGTAGGTTTAGAATTGGCATAGGAGAGGACACGGGGTTTATTATATAGTATAAGCAATGTCAAATTATCTTAGATTACCTTTTAATAAGATAGTATGGTGAAGGGAACACACGTTTGCAGAATCAGCTTTAATGGGACAACTTTTTGATCCATTAACATCTTCACTGAATTAACTGATGAACATCTTAACAGACCGAAACACTGAGTCAATACAACCATGTTCTGTAAAAAGCCTTGTCCTCACAACTGTCAGCAGTGAGCTATCGAGATCCATGGTAGTGTTGATGATGTCAGTAAGTGCAACACAAGTGATAGTCCTAGTGATGCTAGCAGCAGTAGTAATAGTAGGCTGGAGTAGTCCCTTTCAGTATATGCTTTGTTCAACAAGATTCTTTTCTTCAAGCATACCAAATTAATCATGGAACGGTTGGGGTTTAAAACCCACAGCAAGTAAGCACTAAAACCTTATAGGTCGGTTCTGTGAGTCGTTTCCAGGCATGTTATCATGATTCCGTGAGTCCTGCCGGACTTGTAGTCTCAGACTTGAGTAATATTAGTATACAAGCAAACCGTTATCCTTTTCAGTTCAATATTTACGTTTGATACGATGTGATTTGCTCAGGAGGAAAAATTTAAGTAGTCAAGGCATTCAAGACACTTGTTAGAAGAGAGATTCTAACACCTTAATACTTTCTCCTAGACGTTTTGTCTCGCTTTTCCCTTCTCTTCTGTTTGTTTATTTTCTTATTGTTTCTTCTCTTATATGCTTGTAACATCTCACAAATCTCTTGTCAGCTTCTGCCTTGTCTCACCTTGCCCAGGAGCACACTAATCTCTCTCTCTCTCTCTCTCCCTCCCTCTCTCTCTCTCTCTTTCTCTCTCTCTCTCTCTCTCTCTCTCTCTCTCTCTCTCTCTCTCTCTCTCTCTCTCTCTCTCTCTCTCTCTCTCTCTCTCTCTCTCTCTCTCTCTCTCTCTTCTCTCTCCTCTCTCTCGCCTCACCACTCACCCAATATTATCAATAAGAGTCATCAGTTCTCCGTTATCAGTTCTCGCCTCCAGGTTCCTCGCGAAGATAGCGAAGGCTGACGACTGTTCCATCTCTATCTTAAGAGTGAGAAGTTCACCCAGGTCCACGTTGTTCGCTTCCTGTCCGTTTGCCTTGTAGATGCGCATACGCACGGTGGGCGTGGGCGCAGTGTTGCTGATGACGTCGTTGATCCCAGGGCGAAACTGCGCACTGGAGGATACAACAGAAAGACGGTCAGTGTTATTTATTCTGGACACAAGATGATTTTTTTTAAGGCTTTACCATTTCCGTGGGTCAAAGTGAATGTCTTCCCGCTCCTATTATTATTATATTATTATTATAATTATAATAATAATTATTATTATATATTATTATTATATATATATATTATTTTATTATAATTATTATTATTATTATTATTATTAAAATGGTCATAACTATAATTTTATTATTATTCCAATATTATTGCAATTAATAATAATAATAATAATAATTATAAAGATGGTAATATAACCCATGCTGGCATTATTAAACAAGGATGATATCAGTAGAAAAAAATTATTTCTTTTTTCAAAGAAAAAAATTTAGAAATTATAAATAATTCAATTTTTTAGCATTAAATTCAAAAATCGACACGAGTGCAAAGTCAAAATGAGAGTCAGGTGAACGAAACCGAGGCTCCCCCCCCCCCAAAAAAAAAATAGAAAAAAAATTGAAAAAAATACGCAATCGAAGAGTAACGAAAATGATAAGAAACGGAAGTCACTGGTAACGAAAGATCTTACGGTGGCAATATAAACACAAATGCAGTATAATGTGATCCTTTATTGACTACGTTTCGCCCACACAGTGGGCTTTTTCAAGTCACAAACAGAACTACCTGGGGTGGAAGGAACGCGAGTATTTATAGTCCGGCTGAGGTCAGGTGAAGAATGCTGCATCTGATGATGTACCGAGTTGGGTTGTAGAGTCTAAAAACTTGGGTAGCTTGGAAAGGAGACTGGACAAGTTGGTGAGCAGACCTTCTACAGTGTTCTTATGTGGGATAGCGATGAAGAAGTTTCTTGGCAAGTGGTTCAGCTATGTTATAGAAGCCATATTCTGGTTGAAGTTGTCGGATATAGAAATAAGTGATGATTCCAGGATTCTTCGGTATTGAGTGTTGTCTTCTGTGGCGATAAGTCTTGAGTTTCTGTAGTTTATCAAGTGGTTGTGTGAATTACGTGTTGTACGCAGGCATTCCTTGTGTCGTCAGACCTGCTTGCGTATTGGTGTTCTGAAATACGTGTTTGGAGGTCCCTTGATGTTTCGCCCACGTATAACTTGTTGCAGTCATTACAAGGGATTATGTATACCCCTGCAGAGGATGGAGGCTTGTCCTGCCTACTACTGGTGATGTCCCTTGATGGTCGTGGTTGTGGAGGTAGATACTTGGAATGATGTTTTGGCAAAGATGTTGGAAACATGTTTGGCAATGGAGTTGGTGGAAGGACTATGTATCTCTTCTCGGCAGTGTCTTCTCTGGGTGTGTGAAGACACTGCCGAGAAGAGATACATAGTCCTTCCCACCCAACTCCATTGCCAAACATGTTTCCAACATCTTTGCCAAAACATCATTCCAAGTATCTACCTCCACAACCACGACCATCAAGGACATCACCAGTAGTAGGCAGGACAAGCCTCCATCCTCTGCAGGGGTATACATAATCCCTTGTAATGACTGCAACAAGTTATACGTGGGCGAAACATCAAGGGACCTCCAAACACGTATTTCAGAACACCAATACGCAAGCAGGTCTGACGACACAAGGAATGCCTGCGTACAACACCGTAATTCACACAACCACTTGATAAACTACAGAAACTCAAGACTTATCGCCACAGAAGACAACACTCAATACCGAAGAATCCTGGAATCATCACTTATTTCTATATCCGACAACTTCAACCAGAATAGTGGCTTCTATAACATAGCTGAACCACTTGCCAAGAAACTTCTTCATCGCTATCCCACATAAGAACACTGTAGAAGGTCTGCTCACCAACTTGTCCAGTCTCCTTTCCAAGCTACCCAAGTTTTTAGACTCTACAACCCAACTCGGTACATCATCAGATGCAGCATTCTTCACCTGACCTCAGCCCGACTATAAATACTCGCGTTCCTTCCACCCCAGGTAGTTCTGTTTGTGACTTGAAAAAGCCCACTGTGTGGGCGAAACGTAGTCAATAAAGGATCACATTATACTGCATTTGTGTTTATATTGCCATTGTGTCGGTATTTTATACCATTTATTTCCACCGAAAGATCTTACAAACGGCACCTCCCCCCCTTTCCAAAAAAAAAGTAGATCATAACAATAAAAAAAAAAAAAGCCAAGAGTCGAAACCCGGAAGAACCAGTAAACGACAAAAGATCAAATAAATTGGAAAGATGTTTCTGAAAACTGAAACCGCTGTGTCTTGGTGACAAAAGTGGAAAAACCAAACCCGTGGTGACCACAGTGGGAGGTGAGACCCCCACTGTACATGCACTTACTGACCACTACACAGCCCCCTACCTCGTTACGTTGATGGTTCTCCTATGGAAACCAAAGATGAAGTTCGTAACAACGTTACCATCGCTGAGCGGCGAAGAGGAGAAGGAAGAGAGGAGAGAGTTAAGCTGGGTCGAGGAACATTGACGAGGCTGATAAATTAGAAACATGTGCAACAGTTGGGTATCTTTACAGTGGGAACGTTACGCCACACAGTGGTTTCCTCAGTCCAATACAGAGAAGAAAGGTTGTAAGATTAGAAGGAGTTTGAGGTAATCAATCCCTCAGCCTGGAGTTGATGTAATCAGTCCATCAATCTTCATAAGAATACACGTAACACTAGCAAATATGAGAAAAAGACATGCCTGCAAGTATTAAGACATTGAGGATACGTTTCACCCTGGTGGGCGAAACGTGCTCTCAATAAGCGTCTTAATACTCGGAAATGTCTTTGACACATGGCCTAGCCGACAAGTTTAAATAAAAGACACGTACAACAAAACGAGACTTTTATTTTTACTATGTTTCACTAACATGAGGCTTCATGTGGGTGAAACGTCGCACCACAAACAGCCTCCACTATGTGTCTGCTGTTACCAAGGTAAACTTCCTCCCTCATTCGACAGGAAATGTTCATCAGTTATGATTAAATCAAACGTAACTAATGCTCATAAGCTGGGTAAATAACCAGGAAACTGGACTCACTAATAGGTAAACAATAAGTAACTGGACTCACTGTGTAAATAACTAGGTAACTGGACCCACTAATGTGCAAACAACTAGGTAATTGGACTCACTAATATGTAAACAACTGGGTAAGTGGACTCACTTGATGTCAATACCTCCGCCGGTCCTGCCAGCACTGGCCTCAGGAGCGTAGCTGACAGTCTGGTCTCCAGCTTCGAAGGAACACTCGACCCTCACTGTGCGGTCCGACTCTTGCATGATGAGCGGGTGTTGCTGCACCACCACCGTGTTGACGAACTTACCGGAAGTCTGTGGCAGCCGTCAGCAGCCGGAGAAACAGCGAGAGTAGCAGCACCAGCAGCGGGATAAACAGCAGCAGCAGCAGAAGTAACATCATCAGCAAAGAGAATAAGCAGAATTGGTTGGTTAGTCTGTGCTTAGAGTGTCTGGTAAAAGTATTTTGGAGATGGTTTTTCGTGTTCTGTGTTCATCATTTTTCGAAAGAGAATTTTGTGATTGTTGAGGTTAACACACACACACACACACACACACACACACACACACACACACACACACACACACACACACCACACACACACACACACACACACACTCTACCCACCTCCTCCTTAGTGCCACAGGTATTGCCCAGGGGCACTCTGAGTATAAGCTGAGTTTGTCTGTTGCCCATCTCGAAGCACGCCTGGGCATTGCCCGTTGCGTACACTCGCCCCTCGAAGGGCGTGCCGAAGGAGAAAGTCACCAGCATGTCCGTGGGGGTGCAGTCTACCTTCACTGTGGGCGGGGCGATGGGAGGGGCACGTCAAAAAAAAGGGAAATGAATTACCCACTTTTGACTTAAAATATACAAATAAAAAGGAAATCAACTTGATCAATATCATATGTAATCAAGAAACCAAGATCTAAAAAAAACATTCATAATTAACCTGGCCTCACTCAGACACCTAGTGACGGAGACCATTCTGTGATCCGCAACACTATGGAATTCCAGTTAACTTTCTCAAGTATTTGTTTTGATTTTGATTTATAGCCCTGAGACCTTAATCGCTGACGATATAGCATCAGGTTTCAGATTTATCAACACTGTAATAGATAATACACTTCCTTCACTCTTTACTTCCCACCACCTTCAAGTATTCTTATCGCCCTACTAATATTTCCAAGCTGTGCCTGACAGGTTATACTATATCATGCATGCAATTCATCCTGTGTGAATGAATATGGGGGAGCTAGCGTATGTTCCAACCATGTAACTATCATACAGAAAAGGGTACCAGTGCACTACTGGTGTATTTATTTTTGTGGAATATAAGAAAATAAGCTTTCAATCTCCATGTATCAGCATCCATATCTGAAACCATCGATGTCATCTTTAAACATAAACATTATCTCTTCTGTCTCCCGTGAGTGTGAGACAAGGTCACTACATCTGACGTCACAAACATCCCATACTCATTCGCACTTCTATCCCACACTTCTTATTCCCCTCTCAGGTAGAACTTGTTCTCTCCCTACATCACCTGAGTCAGTACCGATCGAGCTGTGGTTCGTACGTTAGACTACGTGCAGTCAGCAGTAACAGCCTTTTTGATCAGGCCCTGATCCACTTAATGACCCGGTCAAAGACTGGGCAGATGGGGTAATGACCCCCTGAAACACCCTCCAGGTATACTCCAATTAGATGGGTAGACCCCAGCCCTTTCCTCCAGGCACAACGCCCTCAGAATAACCTACCTGACTCACGAAATCGTAATGACACGATTGCAAACAAACCATACCACAGGCGGGGATAGAACCCGCTATCAGAGAGTCTCAAAACTCCAGACCGTCGCGTTAGCCACTGGACCAGCTAGCCACAATAACCTACCTGTCTTGCAAGCGCCCTTCTCCGAATAGAAATAGTCTCTCTCCACCTGCAGCGCCGCCTGTCCTCCCACCGTGAAGGTGTCGTCGGAACTCAGCGAACACTCACGACGGAACGACTGAAGGAATAAAAATATTTTATCAAGTTACTGAAGGTTGTTCATCTAAGAAGCATCGAGCAAGTGTAACTATATCCACATTTGACTCTAAAAACACAAATAAAACACATCTAAAGCTAATACATCAATATATGTAAGTTTTAATATTTTTTAAGTAATAATATTTAACATTTTTAATATATGTCTTTGGTTCAGCTGTTGTCATCATCAAGGTATTAAAACTGAGACTCCTGGACTGAGTACACACGCCTTGGCTAATAACTTTGCTATATAAATTAATATAAAACGTCTAGGGCGGACCTGAAAGTTATAGCTCCGGCAGGAGAAGTCCCTTTCGTTGTCGCAGTATTGTTTGCACTCAGCCGGGTCGAAGACGTTAGTGAAGAAGCGATCGAAGTATGGCAGGAACCTACCCTCGTAGTTGGCATAATCACAGTTGGGTGGATCTGCAGGGAGGGTGAGGTATGATCACACTGGTTAGACAATCGGATTGTCCGTAATTGCCTAGTTGTTGTAGTTACAAGTGGGTGGATCTGGAGACATGGATGGGTGTTAATGAACGAATTAATTACTTGCTTGTGCTCTCCGAAGCTGACCAGTAGTGAGATGAGTGGAAAAGGAAAGGGTTAGGGAAGTCCAGGGATTTTTGTTGATCTAAGAGTATTTGTGGATTCAAGAGAGAGAGAGAGAGAGAGAGAGAGGAGAGAGAGAGAGAGAGAGAGAGAAAAGAGAGAGAGAGAGAGAGAGAGAGAGAGAGAGAGAGAGAGAGAGAGAGAGAGAGAGAATTTTCATTTTTCTAACAACACCAAAATGCAACAGCAAGAAATAAAACTAATACACACGTTGCTGAGGAAGCAGTTACTGAGACAATATTTTACTCTGTGTAAATTTTAATCAAGTCATGATAATGTTATACAGGGAGAAATGTTTTCCCAATAAAAGCTTGTTTCTCAGCTTGTGTTTTAGCTTCCAAACTTAGCTACAATACTTTATTTCATCAAGAATATCAAGAATTGAAATGAAACTGAAAAGAGAAACAACATGGAGAATGAAAATCATTTGACACAAAGATGCCATACTGCATAAAGCTAAGAGGTGAGCCCAAGAGCTAGAGGTGAGCCCAAGAGCTAGAGGTGAGCCCAAGAGCTAGAGGTGAGCCCAAGAGCTAGAGGTGAGCACATGCAGACATACACGTACCTGGAGCACACTGGTTCTCCATGAACTCTGTATTGCGGGACCTGAAGTTGAATTTGTCCGGGTCGGTCCGTCTGGTCTCTCCCATCATCTTACACGTCCTCTCCCGCGCGTCATAGGTCACAGACCTGTAAATACAAGTGTGTCTTAGACGTAGAAAGGGAGAGAAAGAGACAGAAAGGGAGGAATGGGAGTAGGCAAGAACGGGTAGATATGAACGGAGAGAATTACTGTCGAACGGGAGGAGAAGCAGAATAAATGTAAGTGGGCCTATGCTGAGTATAATTTTATTTTTAAGCCTCGCCTGTCCTTGAAATAGTGTGACATCTGCCGTGAAAGCAGTGCCACACCTGCCCTAGGAACTGACCCACATCTATTCTTCCACCAGTGCCACATTTTCTCTGATATCAGTAATACAGTTTTCACCACAACAGTGCCACACCTGCCTGAAGGCACTGTAATAATCCGTGAGGTCAATACAACGCCTGTGAGACACAATGCCTTCCTTGTTCTGAGACCAATTGTGTTACCCAAGACAACTGCCATAATTAAAAAAACATACGTCATTTCTTAAAATACCTACTTGCCTCCACTCACTCCTATCTAACACCCTCTCACACGCTTGCTGGATGTCCAAGCCCCTTGCACACAAAACCTTCTTTATCCCATCCCTCCAACCTTTCCTAGAACGACCTTTACCCCACCTTCCCTCAACTACAGGTTTATACGCCACAGAAGGCCTATTGGCCCATGCTAGGCAGGTTTACGTCAAACGTGAGAATGATATCTTACCTGCAGGGAATGTTTGTGGCCCTGAGGCACTCTGCCTGGCACTCCTGGCGGGAGAGGACGTTGTTAACGACGACACCATTGACGTTCAGGTCGTAGCCTGGCACTCGTACGAACGACCACGCCTTCCCACAGTTACGTTCTTAATAGGGGGAGAGAGAATGCTGGTGGTTAGGGGTGATGCTGGGGGAATTGGCAGGTAAAAAAAGGGGGGAAAAGAAAGAGAGGAAATTGGGGAGAGCGAGGAAGGGAGAGAAACGATAACTGAAGGAGGAAAATGAGAAGCCAAAATCACAACGTATACGCAAAAAAAGGCAGTGTAAAGAAGGGACTAACTTTTGATCACAGGAAACAGAACATAGCAACTGAATCCCCTGAGCTAGAGCTCAACCCCCACATGAAATGAACGCCCACAGGGCTCGTATACCCCTCTGGAAGGGGGTGGGTTCTGATACTCACCGGGTATGCAGACCTTCTCGAAGTAAGAAACCTCAGGTGCGGGAACTAGTGCCCCGGGGTCGTTGCCTGCTGCCCGCTCGAGGGAGTAGCAGCGCTGGGCGTTGGAGGGCGAGGTCTCAAGTGTAACTGCCAAGCATCTACCCAGACGACGATCACACTCCTTCAGGCACTCGATAGTGACTCCAATCTGATCCCTGGCTCGTATCTCCTCCCTGAGGTAGAGGGAGAAGAGTGAGGGAGAGTGTGAGAAAGAGAGGAGTGAGGGAGAATGTGAGAGAGAGGGGAAAAAATATGGAGTACGAGAGGTAAAAATACACGAGAAAATACTTGAGTACATGGAAGTGCATGAAATAAAAGACGGATAACAGAGAGAAATGAGAATGAAAATGAGAGAGAGAGAGAAAATCATGCAATAACATATCATGCACATAATGATTTATTTATGTTTAAAGCATTATTGGTTAGTTTGGTATTTGCGGTATTAAATCGTTTATTTCCATAGATATCGGTTCAGTAACTACGTTATCCGAATCGGATTAATGAAATCTATTGTCTACGATCTATTTGGATCTATCATGTCTATTGTTTATTTTACAACTAGCACACATTTATGTAGCTAAATTTCATAACTATCTTTCTACTGTCAAGATTAGCTATTATTATTATTATTATTATTATTATTATTATTATTAGTAGTAGTAGTAGTAGTAGTAGTAGTAGTATTAGTAGTAGCAGTAGTAGTAGTAGTAGTAGTAGTAGTAGTAGTAGTGGTAGTAGTAGTAGTAGTAGCAGTAGCAGCAGTAGTAGTAGTAATAGTCAGATGGTCAGATGAGTTAGCGATTATTTTATTTATTCAGATTTTTTACTCTTTTTTCACAAGTTTATGATATTTTAAGACATGCTCTATGAGGTAATTACGAACACAGGATGCCTGGAGGGTAGTTAGTTTGAAGTGAGTTGTTTAAAGAGGATCAGTAGTTTAGGATAACTCGTTAGCTGGGTGTGGATCGCCAGCTTAATTGGGGTCCTTAATTTGTATGGGTCGTTACGTATGGGAGAGTCACTAGATTCGGATGAGTTGAAATCCTTCAAGAGGGTCGTTAGTAGTGAGTGGATTATTACGTGAGTCGTCCCCTGGGGTTCGATATTTACCTTGCTGGGGGTCATTAGCGTTGGTTAACGAAGGTGAGGTTACGTTGTTTATTTGTAACGGGTCGTTAATTAAGGGTTAGTCGTTAGTCAAGCGAGTGACTTTAGTTCCGGATCGTTAGCTGAGGATTGTTCAGTAGCTTAGTATTGGTAGTTAGCTGCTGGGGAGTTTAGCTTATGCATCTACGTCGACGCTACACTGCATCTCTTCTGGCACGTGCACATACACGCACTTGTACTGATAAACGTACATAAGCACGCTCCTTGAAGGTTCTGACATAATATTTGTCAGAAGAAATAAAGCAGGGAGTGACCCACTCATTACTTTATTAAGGTTTTATGAAGCTATCTTTATTTATAAATCTCTCTTTAAGAACCTACGAATAAAGCAGCAAGATCATACAAGAAATGAGATCACATAAGACTGAGTAACAGTGAAAAACAATCACGTTCTCCAAGGAGCAGAGAATGGGACTGAAACCTCTTTAAAGGATTTTAATCGCATATCAATACAATCAATGATTATGTCAATGTCACTGATATTTACGTTTCTCCTTAATTCATTACTTTATTCCACTTCTTTCACAGTTTACATTAATCTAGATTAAACTGTTCACGTGTTACGGTCTGAGAGGAGAGTGTAGCGTCAGAGTTAATTCCTCAAAGCGGTTGTTTCTCTTGGCTAAGGATACCTCCCACACTCCTACCCATACTGGTGAGTCCTATTTTGCGAGACAATGTATCCCATGGTGACTCTCTGTGGAGAGATGGGGCGGTAGGATACTGATACTTCGGGTCTACGAGGCCTCCAGGAAAAGTATTTGGTTTTGACTGCCTGGAAGGGTCCGTAGTGGCCTCTGGAAGCCGGTGGACGTCCTGTAGGATGCGGGGGCGTGAAGGATCCCCAGGGAAGCATGATGGGCGGCCGCTGGGTCGAGAGGAGGAGGAGGAAGAGGCCCGCTGACAGCAACTCTGGATCCAAATTTCGCTCTACAAACAACATCGAAGAAAAGACGAAGGTCGCAGCGCAGACTTTTGTTGAGACAACATTTCGCTCAGTGCAGTGATTATGTAAGACAACGATAAAGCCCTACACATAACGAAACGTTCTCCCAGTGAATGTCTGTTCTACAACGCGTGTTTCTTCACAGCATCCGTCCGCTGGGATGTCATCCGCTAACCAGTCACGGCAAATTAACTTTGAAAAATCGTTACCTTGCTTGATTTGAGGTCACGCACGGGCGACTCACCTAATTACCTGTTTAATTACCTATTTAATTACATGTTTAATTTAGCTCTCCTTAATTATTTACAACTATGATGATACAGACAAAAAAAAAATAAAAAAAAATGATTAAACATAAAACGCCATCTTCTAATGCTTATATAAATTTAATAAAACCTGAAATATGGTACATTCTGCTCAGATCATAAGTAATGTTACACCTCGGGGTGTATATCTCAGTGTATATATCTTGAGAGATTACTGTTAGTTCCCGTTTTAAGGACTGAAATATTTTTGACTGGTGGTGAATAGGTGACATGCAGCCTTAATTACCCTCGTATAGATGACTTGAAATCTCAATTACATATCGTAGTTACATCCTGAAGAACTGTGGACACATCTGATGGTTTTCTTTATCATTGGTAAATAAATTGAAATAACAGAATAAAACATATAGCAATTTAAAGAATATGAGAGGTATACAACGATTTATTTTGTTTGTAGAGATGCGTAAAGAATCATTTACGAAATAAACAATAAAAAGAAACATAAACAATAAACACGAAGATAAGCAATATCCAGAACGAAACAAAAGACTCCAGGTGAGGGTTGTATTTTCATTAACAACTAGATTGTAAACAACAGACTTGACAACAGCTCACTTAGTGGGCGAGACGTCAATGTAGGATCACTTTACATTGGGTATGTATCTCAGTCACACACTGACTGAGAATTGACAGCCGTTCAGGACGTCCCCCTGACACTATTTTAGTATACTGGCACCTCCCTTAACCCCTGACACTATTTTAGTATACCTGGCACCCTTCCTTAAACCCCCCTGACACTATTTTAGTATACTGGCACCCCTCCCTTAACCCCCTGACACTATTTTAGTATACCTGGCACCCCTTCCTTAACCCCCTGACACTATTTTAGTATACCTGGCACCCCTCCTTAACCCCCTGACACTATTTTAGTATACCTGGCACCCCTTCCTTAACCCCTGACACTATTTTAGTATACCTGGCACCCCTCCCTTAACCCCCCTGACACTATTTTAGTATACCTGGCACCCCTCCCTTAACCCCCTGACACTATTTTAGTATACCTGGCACCCCTCCTTAACCCCCTGACACTATTTTAGTATACCTGGCACCCGTCCCTTAACCCCCCTGACACTATTTTAGTATACCTGGCACCCCTCCCTTAAGAAATGATCGACGACTCAGATGTCAACATACGGCTGTCATCACAGAACAGCCTCACTAAACAGGTGAAGGAAGCAACAAAAGGACGGAGGATCGAGCATCTACACTGAATGACTGAAAGAAGCTTAGCACTCCACTCCAATAATAATGATAATTATAATAATAACTACAATGATAATAATAATAATAATAATAATAATAATAATAATAATAATAATAATAATAATAATAATAAAAACAATAAAATTAATAATATATAATAATAATAATAATAATAATAATAATAAAAACAATAAAATATTAATAATAATAATAATAATAATAATAAAACAATAAAATTAATAATAATAATAATAATAATAATAATAATAATAATAATAATAATAATAATAATAATAATAATAATAATAATAATGACCTTACCTTGCTCCTCGAAGGTCAACTCCCAACACCTTATCGTAGGTCGGAGTAAAACGGCAACTCTCAACTGTGGAAAAGAATCTCGTTATTGTGGGATTGGGGGGACATGACCAATTTTTTCGTGGGAGCACTGTGGGGAGGGGGCGAGGACCCCAGTACTGTGGGAGAGCTGGAGACAAAGTTTATTGGGATTTCAGGGTAGAACTAGTTCTAGTAAGCTTGCTAGGACAGCTACAGCTAGTCTGGCACCTAGAACTAGTCCGAGACTTAAGAGTTTCTTTCTGGCTTTGTATTTTTTACTGGAGAATATAATTTTTTTATCGGAAATTTGATTTCTTTTTTTCTTGTAGCGTTTTATTTTATCTGATTAGTTTAATTAATTTAATAATAATAATAATAATAATAATAATAAATAATAATAATAATAATAATAATAATAATAATATTAACAATAATAATAATGATAATAATAATAATAATAATAATAATAATAATAATAATAATAATAATATAAATAACAACAATAATTATTATTATGATTATGATTATTATTATGATAATTTTTATTATTATTTCTACGACATCAACAGCAACATATTAACAGCTTTCTGTCTAAAACATTAAAAGCAACTTACTGATAGCTTTCTGTCTAAAATACCAACAGTAACATACTGACAGCTTTCTGTCTAAAACACAGCAACATACTAACAGCTTTCGGTCTAAAACACCGACAGCAGCATACTAACAGTTTTCTGTCTAAAACACCGACAGCAGCATACTAACAGCTTTCTGTCTAAAACATTAAAAGCAACATACTGATAGCTTTCTGTCTAAAATACCAACAGTAACATACTGACAGCTTTCTGTCTAAAACACAGCAACATACTAACAGCTTTCTGTCTAAAACACCGACAGCAGCATACTAACAGCTGTCTCTATCTAAAACAACAAAAGCAACATGCATCATCAATGCAGACAGCTGGCTTTTTGCCTACACATCTAACATCCACATGCACTAGCGGTACACGTAAAGCTGACAGCGCTGACACTCCTGCCTTTTTATTCTCTGAAGTATTTTTTTTCCATTTTTTTTGGCACACTGGACGTCTCCCACCGAGGTAGGGTGACCCGAAAAAAACGAACAAGGCAACAAATTCACCATCATTCATTCAGTAGCTCTCTTGCCAGGGGTTCGTAAACGTTACGTCCGAACTGCAACATTCGCTCACCTCTCCCTGGCAGATTAATTTCTCTCATCTGAGCTGCAACGTATCATGCTTTAAAAATGTCTATTGTCTGTACCTTGTTCTATCAATTGCACCATTCAGTAGGCCTGGAAAAATAACACTAATGCAGTATAATGCGAGCCTTTACTGACAACGTTTCGCCCACACAGTGAGCTTTATCAAGTCACAAACAGGTCTGTATTTATTTCTCCATCTAATCGGTTTTTTATGCCATTTATCTCCATTCAATAGGCCTAAATGCCAATAGAATTGCATTTTATGGGCTTATACAAGACTGTCATTGATGGCGGCATGCACACTCAAGCAAAGGTATTTTACAAAAGTTAATCTGCCGATGGCTTTCCACAATCGTGCACTGTGTACCTCGTGACCAACCTTTCTCTTCGTCAGCGCCCTCTACAGGATCTGCTGTTGGGGAGAATCAGTTAGAAACCTTTCTTTGACATATGAAGCGAAGTATGTATAGTGGGGGATCTTAGGTCCTATGTACGGAGGACCGAGTATCCTCTACTCCCTGAGCTGATTTAGAGCTTCGCATTAAGTACAAAGATATTTTTTTGGGCCACTGCTTGTGTCGTCGTCCAAGAAAAACCCTCAGATTTACCTTCTATAATGAATTCATGTGCTTTTATCTCTATTTTTTAAATTTTCTTTCCCTCTGTTTGAACATGACGCTTCCAATTTACTTCTAAATCTACGTTTTGAAGATCCTCTGAAATGTGAGAAAACCATGAAAAACGAGGAATTTATGAAATTTTTTAATATTTTCAGCCAAAATTTTTGGTGATTTTTTCAAAAAATTTTTCCCACGCAGTTTTAATCGTCCACTATGATGGAAAAAATCCCGAGTACATTATAGGGGCCCAGAACGTGTGTAGCTTTAAAAAATAGTTGGTAAATACATGAGGGATGTGGGGGGGTGTGAGTTGGCCCTGAAGCTTGCTACCGGGTCGGTTGCCGTTTCCTCCCTTTAAAGTAAATGTGACCTGCCCTGACTAGAGGGGTGCATTGGCTTAAGCCGGTATGATACTTGACCTGCCTCGCATGGGCATGGGCCCCTTTTGCAGTGTTCCTTCGTTCTTTTTTCTTATAACATTAAAAAAAAATATTATAACAAAACTAATTTTTTAAAGGGGGGGAGGGATAAACCCGGAAGGGCTCGATCAGTTGACCAAAAACTCCCGCGCTGTGGGCCCATAAACTAAGACTCGGTCAGGATACATTTTCCTCTTTCCCGCGAATCTTACCTAAACCTAACCTAAGCATGTAAAAAGGCAGAACCCAAAACCCAAACAATATTTAAAAAATAATCGACTAATTTCAGCGGTCCTCCAAGGAATCTTTAACCTTCACACACTACCAGTGGCCACTGTATTGAGGTACGAGAGCTGAGATGTGTTCAACACTGTCAAGGTGTGTGCTGAGCACATTACCAGTGGCCACTGTATTGAGGTACGGGAGCTGAGATGTGTTCAACACTGTCAAGGTGTGTGCTGAGCACATTACCAGTGGCCACTGTATTGAGGTAAGGGAGCTGAAAAGTGTTCAACACTGAAGGGGTGTCGACAATTACCAGTGGCCACTGTTTGAGGGCGAGAGCTGAGGTGTTTAACACTGTCAAGGTTGGTGCTGAGCCATTTCCGTGGCCACGTATTGAGGACGAGAGCTGAGATGTTTCAACACTGTCAAGGTGGTGAGCACATACCATGGCCACTGTTTGAGGTCGAGAGCTGAGATGTGTTCAACATGTCAAGGTGTGTCTGGGCACATTACCAGGGGCCAGTATTGAGGTACGAGAGCTAGTTTGGTTCAAATGTCAGGGGGTGCTGAGCACTTTCCCCAGGGGCCACTGATTGGGGTAGGGGGAGTGGATGTGTTAAAACACGTCAAGGTGTGTGCGGCAAAATTCCCAGTGGCCACTGTTTTGAGGTAGGGAGCGAATGTGTTCAAAAACGTCAAGGTGTGTGCTGAACACCTACCAGGGGCCACTGATTGAGGTACGGGAGCTGAAATGTGTTAAACCCTGTCAAGGTGTGTGCTGAACACACTCCAGGGGCCCATGTATTGAGATACGGGAGCTGAAAGGTTCAACACGTCAGGTGTGTGCTGAACACACTACCAGGGCCCACGTATTGGGGGTACGGGAGCTGAAATGTTTTTAACACTGCAAGGGTGTGCTACCACTACCAGTGGCCACTGTATTGAGATACGGGAGTGAAATGTTTAAAAACACGTAAAGGTGTGCCTGAAAACTACCAGTGGCCAGTTTTAAAGGAAAAGTTGTACTCAAGGTGAACAAAAACAGGACTTTTTAAAAAAACGCCCTGGTCGTCAAAGCGAAATATATAAACCTCAGGTAATTTTAAGGTAATAAAAAAACCAAAACCCAACGAGTATATATATAAAAGCCCCATTATATCATACATTTTAAAATATAGTAACAAAACCGGAAAAAATTTAATAATAAAAATTAAAAAAAGAAAATAATCATTCTATCATATAAGTTTTAAAAGACATGCAAAAAAATTTTTAAGAATATGAAAAAATTATTGAGGAAGAGAATGATAAATTATCAATAATATCGCATATTTAAATATATTGCGAAAAATAGTGATCAACATCATAAATAAAATTTGCAAAACATACTTCAAAAATACCAAAAAAAGGGCTGATTTTTCCCCTTCTCAATTGTCCCATTTATCCTGTAAAATTTGGGAAATATTGATTTTAAAAAAATGGGGGGGGGTGACCCCTTTAAGCAAACTCAAGACCCACAGGGGATATATATATATATATATTATAATATATAATATTAATATATATATATTATTATATATTATAAATGAGAGAGAAAGGAGGGAGAGAGAATTACATGCGAATACCGGGGTATTACTATAAGCTAATGTTATCTTGGTGTATATACACTAACGGGTTACTTTTGGACTGTAATTTTTAGATAGGTGTATAAAATCTCAGGGGAAAATACAATGAACATTTACTTTAATCTAAAAATAAAGCGATTTAAGTATTCTTGAATGTCGGTGCAATTATGATTGGGTGCCCTATAGATAATAAAGTCGTCGATTGCTTGAAACCTGGCAAGCATGATTGCGAATATATACTGAAGAACATTCTGAAAGTATATACAACTATATAATATATATATATATATATATATATATATATATATATATATATATATATATATATATATAATATATATATATATATAAATATATATATATATATATATATATATATATATATATATATATATATATATATATAAATAAATAAATATAAAATATATATATGCATGTATATGTATGTATGTATGCATGTATATATATACAGAAAGCCTTAATGAATAGACGATTTCATAGTGATATTTCGTAATTATGAGTAAAATAAATGAGTGGATGAGTGAGACAATTGAAGAGTGAGTGACTGGGTGAGTAAATGATAAGGTTAGTGCATGAATAAGTGAGAGAGTGAGAGAGTAAGGGAGTGAGTGAACGAGTCAGCGTGTGCTTTACAGGACGGAATGCTTAACCTTGACAACATACCATCGTCAGCAGGACTTTCAACAGCACCTGTGAAGACATTGTAATCTCAGACATAGTATTGTGAGACTTAAACATGGTATTGTTGATCTTAGACATTTTATTGTGGGTCTTAGACATGGTATTTTGGGTCTTAGACATGGTATTGTAGGTCTTAGGCATGGTACTGTGCGTTTTAGACATGGTATTGTGGGTTTTAGACATGGTATTGTGGGACTTACACATGGTATTGTGCGTCTGAGACATGGTGCTGTGGATCTCAGATATATTACTGCATGTGTAAGACATGGATGGCACTAGGGGGGCTGACATATGCTACTGGGGAGTGAAAGATGGTACTGGGGGAGTGAAAGATGGGACTGGGTGTGTAAAAGTGGTACTGGGAAGTGCAGTATGGCACCGGAGAGTTAAGTATCGTTCTGGGTGGTGAACGAGGGTACCTAGGTGTGAGCACTGGTACTGGGATACCTAACAATGCTTCATAATAGTCACATTATCATAACCTTACCTTCTGCTGTTGTTCCTACGCCGGTACCTGTGGAAACACAACTCACTAAGACACAGGAAATGGGGTAACACATGGTACTGGTTTCCAGGACCTGATACTGGGATGTCTAATACGGTGCTGGGGTACGGGACTCTGTACTGGGGTCTTGGACCTAATACTAAGGTCTGTGACTTGGTTCTGTGGGCCAAGATTATGTGAATTTTAAGGTTTGATGAACAGGGACACAGGGAACGGCTTAACGAGAGAAAGTGAGAAACAGGTTAACGAACGATAGGAAACACTCACCTGTGCCTCCTGCTGTTCCACCGAAGCCACCAAAGCCACCGGCTCCACCAAAGCCTCCATTTCCTCCAAAGCCTCCACTTCCGCCGCCTCCAAATGTTCCGCCAGTTCCTCCACCTCCGGTCCCGAAGAGGCCTCCTCCTCCTCCTCCTCCTGTTCCTCCAAAGCCACCGGTCCCTCCAACACCTGTTCCTCCAACACCAGTTCCTCCAAAGCCACCTGTCCCTCCAACACCTGTTCCTCCAAAGCCACCTGTCCCTCCAACACCTGTTCCTCCAAAGTCACCGGTCCCTCCAGCGCCTGTTCCTCCAAATCCACCAGTACCTCCACCAGTTCCTCCAAAGCCACCTGTCCCTCCTCCACCGATGCCTCCTCCACCTGCTCCCCCAAAGCCTCCAGTGGAACCTGTGAGTGTGAGACAGCAGTTAAAAACAGATATCCGGATGCTGTAAGACTCATCTTCAACACCGAGATGGTCAGCATATTATCTAAAACCCCTGGGAGAGAGAAAGAGAGAAAGAGAGAAAGAGAGAGAAGAGAGAGAAACAGACAGACAGAGACAGATACAGAAATGAGTAACAAAAGCGAAACGAAGGAAAGAATAAAATATCCCCCAAATTATGCGAGAATAATAAATGAATAATAGCGTGAGATGAGTGGAAATCGCAGTTTAAAGAAAATAATTGAAATATATGAAAACAAATAAAAGAAACGAAAGATAAAGAGGAAAAAAACACGAAAACTGCAAAAAAGAGGCAACATTACTGAAAAGGAAAAGAACACAGAACAAAAAATTAAAAAAACAGCTTCAAATATCTTGAACTTGCTTATCATTTGCATTCTTTTCACTTAAAAAAACATATTTGTTCTTTTCTTTTTCAATAAATCTGCTTTTTATTTATTGGTCCTTTTCGGGTGCCTAGGCTGGTGGCACTACAGAGGTAATGAATACTCGAGGAGCCGAGCTGCCCAGATGGTCTAGCATGCAGCGCCCACCATAAAAAAGGTCCATAGCAGAAGAAGACCTATATATATATATATATATATATATAATATATATATATATATATATATAATATATATATATATATATAATATATATTATATATATATATATAATATATATATATATATATATTAGCAAAATACAGTTTAATTTGTAATACACTACACAAATTAGTTCAATATCCTAAGAATTTTACATTATTAATACACGTCAGACAAACACTTCAGCATAAATGGCTAAGCTTACATTACAGGTGAATAGGAGGCTTAAGCTTGGTGAACAAGTTCTGGAAGCTACAGCTTGTTCACCGATACTGTGGTTAATGTTATAACCAAAGCTAAAATATAGTCTGTGTCGCCGAGGTTCATGTTAATGTTCACTTTTTTGTTCGGAGTTCATATGATTTATTGTATATATCAAAATAATTTAAGTGTCTTTCAGGATATTGAAAAAGATTTTGACACAGACTGTATTAACAGTTTTTATCATAAATGCATAATTTAGCTCCAAAATATTTAGATAATGCTCTTGCTCCCCCATGAATTTAAATTCTACTGAAGGAGGGTAGAATAAAGCCAATGCTAGAAGACCTAGCCAGGAATATAGAAGACAGAAGAAGCTAAAGTAAGTCTTGCATTCTCACCATTTTAGAGGCCTGTGAGTTTTCCTGTCTTCTAATATCATGTATATTTTTTCTCTCTGACCAGTGGAAGACCAAGAAGACTATGACCAGTTGTGGCATGCAAAGAGTACGTAACCTTTATTCGGCGCATGTACACACCCTCATTTACAGGCTATCTCCCCCAACCAGCGAACCAGGTTGCTAAGAGTTGATGATGGGGCCCCGTCGTTCAACTAGTGACCAGGTTCTAGCCAATAAGAAGATGGTTTTGGCAATCGCAGAGGTTATGTGGGTACCGCTCTCCTGTCTGCCCTTGTCATTCCCATTCTAGAGCTGGTTGAAGCACGGTCTGCTATCTTGTGGCTTCTATTTCTGCATTCTTACCTTAGAGCTGTGCAGTTTACTGATCACTGATACATAGTGTAATATTGCTGTTCTAATGGAAGGACTAAAAGTCTAAACTTTTTCTAATGTGCTTTATTTGACCATCAATTAAACGGGGTAACAGGCCATTGGAATTCAGGGTTGTAATACCAGTGGAAGACCAAGAAGACTATGACCAGTGGAAGATCAAGCCGGAAATGAAGAGTGAAGAACTCTTCGATTAATCCCCTTCCTTGGATTAATCCTAATTTTCTGCCATGCCCACCGGGCGCTGTATACCATTAAGTGCTTAGCGTCTTCTCAAGAATACTATAAAAAAGTAATTGAAATCTTAAATTATCCAAAGGTCTCCGGCAGAAACATCTCTGAGAACCATCGCAAGAAACTGTGACCCTCTAGATGTCTTCAGCTTAAACTAGCAACGCTGAAAGGCCTTAGCTAGAAACCAGCACTATACCGAGACATATCCTAGAAATTAACGGCATTGCCAGACCTTCACTAGAAATCAGCATTCTCAAGTCAGCAACATTCCCAGACATTTTTTCGGGAATTCAATATTTCCAGACCTTCGCTAGTAATAACAACATTTCAAGACCTTTACTAGAAATTAACATTTCGAGACTTTCACTAGAAACTGACATTTCAAGACCTTACTAGAAATGAACACATTCCCAGACTGGTACGTCAAATACATTCCGAAACCTTAACTAGACGTCTGCATACAACCTTCCCAGACCTTTCCTAGATAATACCATCTTCAACAGACACAAACAGCTTAGAAAAGAGTTTAGATACCATGTACAACCCACCTGTGGTGAAGTCTGTGCATTCCTTCTCGGCAAACATGGCACCTGTACGGAACTGGAAGGCACTGTTACCAGCGTTGGTGCCCGTGTCGCCGCTCAGGTAACACTGGTTGGTGTTGGAGTTGCTCTGGTAACAGTGAGTGACTTGTATAAGGTTACCAACGTAAAAAATATATATTAAAATTACCTATTCGTAATGATCTTTATGTAGCTACGGGAGTAGAGCTGTGCTCGTAATGTTCTTTCTTCACTAACTTCCACTGCTTCTTTTTCTTCCTCTCTTGGTCCCGTCCCTGTCCCCCTCGTCTATGTATACACAGTCTCCCTCACTCTTTTGTGTTAGTGTGACTTTGTAAATGGTACAAGTCGGACCGAAACATCGTCGTAAGTGCCTCTCTCCTATGTGCGGGTTATTTGTGTATTGTTCCAGTCAATGTAATGTGACTTTTTGTTATTTATATATATTTTTTAAAAAATCCCACTAAAAGTCAATAAAAATTAATAATAATTCTGATAATTTTACATATTTAAAAAAAAAACTGTTTGTATTTACAGTGGATGTACGCTTATTTAAATCCATTAATTTACAACCAACAACATGTAATTAACTCCTTGAATTTATCAAATTAACGAGTAAATCCTTTAGACTAACAACCTATAACATGTAAAAAAATTTGAACTAACCACTAACGAATGAATCCCTTAGAGTTACCGTCTATAACATGTAAACAACTCGAAATTACAAATATGACAATATTCACTAGATTTGTTCACGTTTAACGTGTAAACAACTTGAATTTACCAACATTAACGAGGATATTCCCCTAGATTTACCAAGTTTAAACATTAACTAGGAAATCCCCTAGACTCACCGCGCTCATGAAGGAGTAAGATCGGCAGTTGAATTCTGTCTCGATGTCACAGGACCTCCTACAGGCGGCGTCACTGAAGGCGCTGGTGGCCTTGGTGGTGTAGATGAGGTATCTATCCCTCTGGTTGTTCCTGTACACGCAACCGCTGGGCTCTGCAGGGAAAGAAGCAAATTTAGATTTTACCACCGAAATGGCTAGTTTATCGTGCATCCCATATCTATCCTGTACCTAGCTACTGTTTTATTTACTCTTAAGTACCTACGCCTGTAACTACACTTATGTACCTACTCCTGTAACTATATTTCAGTAAGTACACTTTAATACTCGCTCCAGTAACTATGATTTTATTCTTTATACTTTAATTTGGTTTTAATTGCCTCTTCTGTAACTTCACTTTAATACCTGTTGCAATATTGTGCACTGCCTGGTTCTTCAGGTATTTCCAGGTCTTCAACAACACTTACTAGGAGCACACTAGTTCTCCAGGTCATCAACAACACTTACTAGGAGCACACTAGTTCTCCAGGTCCTCAACAACACTTAATAGGAGCACACTAGTTCTCCAGACCCACAAGAACACTTACTAGGTGCACACTGGTTCTCCAGGTAGTCGACGTTAGGAGCAGCCTGAAACGACGTGGGAGCGGAGAAGCGATCCTGGTCAGAGAGACGACACAGCTTCCGGGCGTATTCGTAATTCGCTGAACGACACACGAATCTACGCTCCTCCAGACACCTCTCTATGCACTCAGACTTGCTACATAGCGAAAAATGATAAAAGATTGTATCACTGTTATCTAAAAGAAAGTCTAGTCTTATCAGAATATATTAACATTACGGTAGGCTATTTTTTTTATATTTGGTGACGCTACTGCATTGTTGTTGACGTTAGTGTTTTTTTAAATCACTTTGTTTATTAATTCATAATCGAATTTCCTCACTGAACTGCATTTTAATGGAAATTTTCTACACCTATATTTTCTATATTAATAAAAGCAACAATTTTTATAATATCCTAACGTTTACTGAAGAATTTTTTCGGAACTTTTTGTGGATCATTAAAAAAAATAGGAAAAGAAACAAAGACAGAAAAAAATATATATAAAGAGAACGAGGAAGCGGAGCAACAAGGAATAAAAGACAGGGATAAGAAAATAAACAAACCTGATTCCATTAAGTGTTTCTCTGTCTCTTCCGCTGAGTTCGAAGTTGGGTACCCGCTCGAAGGTCCACCTCAGACCACACCCTCCACCTGTCGGACCACAACAACCATACACACACACACTCAGTATAATCACCTAGTATTACTGATGCCTCATCTCCCGCCTAATAGTAATATTAATAACTAGAAATAATATTTAGTCATCTTTATCCACAAGTAACTCCTAAATGGGAGATAGAAACTAGTGGCTAGTTAATGGTCCAAGACGGACCGAAACGTCGTCACAAGCTTCTTTCTCCTGTGTGTGGGTTATTTGTGGACTGTTTCACTCACGATATTGTGATCTGTTATTCTCTACTTATCTTGCACATGCAGAGACGAACATTAAATGTACAGTACAATGCACAATTTATAATTTTATGGAGATACATTTCGGTTCTGCTTTTAAAAATTTTGATGTATGGCAGACCGAAATGTCGTTTGGTTTATGAGTTATTTGTATATTATTCCCTCTAAAGTGTTGAATATTTTTTTTCACTCTGTTAAGTGAAGTGGTAGTAATAAGAGGGGTTCCCTAACTCACTCCTGAGACAGATGCCCTCGAAGTAGCCGACCCCGCTGGACTGACGAAGATTCTGGGGTACCTCGGAGGCTCTGGTGTCCAAGGAGTAGCACTCGAACCTGTTGTAGTCGAGGTTGAACGCCATGCAGCTGTTGAGGTTCTTGCAGAGCTCGGCACATCTTGCTGTGATGCCTAGAAGGGTGAGGAACAGCATGATAGAGAGAGAGAGAGAGAGAGAGAGAGAGAGAGAGAGAGAAAAGAATCTTAAACACAAAACGATTGCAAAAGAAACACAATACCTTGCAGTGGTACAACCTAAGCGAAGTCATTTCATAACTTCGTTCATGTCTTTCAATATCGAGACTAAACTACTGAATTGTTGACCAATTCGTTCCGCAGAACACAGGACTCGACAACCCTTATTACAATTTCTACACTGTACACCGGGAGGTGTATCTCACTCATTGTACATACGCAGAAAGGTGTATACCATTTCTTACACCGAGTACTTTACACGTTTAGAATTTTTTTATAAAGCCTCGGTCAGATGACCAAAGACTCCAATTGCTGTGAGACATCATATAACTAAGATCTGGTCAGGAACACTTGTCCTATTTCCTGACAAACCTAACCTAACCTTACCTTAATTTTTGTTTTAATTATTAATTAGAGTTTCCTTTATGATAGTGAATTGGTGATTTGCAGCCTTAATGACCCAAGTACAGTCAATTGTTATTATATTTAGAGAGTCACAGAGTCCAACAGGCTATTATCCCCTGGATCAAGAATCCCTCACAGGCATCCGGCATCAAAGAACCTTCCAAGAGAGAATGAAAACAAAATATAAACCTGACACACTAACCGACCCAGTGGACATACCTTCAGTCTTGCTGGAGAAGAGGAGCTCGGACTTGATCCTGGAGAGTTCGAAGCCAGTGACCTTTTCGTAGGTGAGGCGGCCGAAGCTGCAGCGATCTACTGCGAATGAAAACCCGCCTGGAGGAAGCAGCCAGTGGAGGCCGGGAGCCCCCAGGTCGAACCATTAGTGCGCTGCGGGTGCCAGGTGCGTAAAGGGATGCTGTGGGTGGCTGCTGAGCAAAAGACAGGGCAAAGGAATATCCAAGATGCTTCTACTTAAAAAAGATGGGTTGAAAGAATACTTTAAGGAACAGGCCAAATGATTACTTAGGATAGCTTCTACTCAAGGAACAGGCCAAGGATTACTCAGGGTAGCTTCTACTTAAGGAACAGGCCAAAGGATTACTTAGGGTAGCTTCTACTCAAGGAACAGGCCAAGGATTACTCAGGGTAGCTTCTACTTAATGAGCAGGCCAAAGGATTACTTAGGGTAGCTTCTATTTAAGGAACAGGCCAAAGGATTACTTAGGGTAGCTTCTATTTAAGGAACAGGCCAAAGGATTACTTAGGGTAGCTTCTACTTAAGGAACAGGCCAAAGGATTACTTAGGGAAGCTTCTACTCAAGGAACAGGCCAAGGATTACTTAGGGTAGCTTCTATTTAAGGAACAGGCCAAGGATTACTCAGGTACTTCTTAAGGAGCAAGGATTACTTAGGGTAGCTTTATTAAGGAACAGGCCAAGGATTACTCAGGGTAGCTTCTACTTAAGGAACAGGCCAAAGGATTACTTAGGGTAGCTTCTATTTAAGGAACAGGCCAAAGGATTACTTAGGGTAGCTTCTACTTAAGGAACAGGCCAAAGGATTACTTAGGGTAGCTTCTACTTAAGGAACAGGCCAAAGGATTACTTAGGGTAGCTTCTATTAAGGAACAGGCCAAAGGATTACTTAGGGTAGCTTCTACTTAAGGAACAGGTAAAAAAAAAAACTTTGTTACTGTGTTTTCTACTCGAACAAGTAGGCCAAAATAACACTCAAAGGTGTCTTCTATCCAAGGACCAGACTAAAGGCATAGTGTTTACTATTCAAGGGAGACCGACCGAAGGAATAACTACTGAAGGAGGTTTGTTAGCAAATCTAGTTGGCTCTAGTATCGCCTTTTAATGAACCGCAATACAAAAGAACGTTTTTTCTAGTTAGAGATACTTAACGTATTCTTGTTAGACCACTTTAATCTAGATCTTAAAAAACTGGAGACTAGAACTGCACATTGATTTTAATTTCGCTAGACGGATTTATATATTATATTTACTTACAGTTTTATGTGCAAAGACAAATGCGAAAAACATTAAAATTTACGTTTTTTCACATATTACTAAAGCAATTGGGATATTTAGATTATAAGAGTTTTAATAAGCCTATTTCGTTTTTACATTTAACGCATAGAAATAAATTACTACAACATAGTTTTACTGCTGTATTAAGGTACGTAACATTGGAGTAGTGTTGAACAAGGCTAAGAACACAAACCTTCAGTCTAGGATAAGAGACCGAGGAATTTCTATTAAGGCTCAGGGACTGAATATCTCAAATTTATCACCCCTGTTTTCCACTGTCTCCGGAATTAAAATCTCTATTTTTGACTAAAGATGCCTGCTACGCAGGCGAAACGTTTCGCCAGCAAAGATACCCAAGCGTTGCCAAGTGTCTAATTCATCAGCTTTTACTGCTGTATCTACATAGAGGCTGCTTTTATTTCAACAATTATTCGAGAGTGATACAAGCTCTACAATGCTACGTGTGGCCAACTGAAAAATCTACTGGATCCCAATGCAGTCATAGTTGGAACTACCGCTTCCTCTACACTGGAGATACTACTGAGCCCCTTACATTAACTACAAGGGAAGTGTGGTGGGTTGCGGCTAAGCTTCGTGTTGAAGGTCCGACCTGTGCACTGTGGGGCTGTTGCTTTCCTAGCACCTCTAACACGAATCAACTCCGGATCAAATTTAAGTCAAGCGGAGGTCACCCATAGGTCAGGTTTAGGCCAGCTAAAATATTGACCTCAAGGTACCCTAGGCTCAATGTTAAATTAATCTTTAAACAGCCTATATCCAACCGAAGGTCAAGCAGTGGTTAACCAGAGATCAACCCCGAGATAACCACAGCTTATCTCCAGGTTACGATCTGGAATGGTATGTAGATACCGCAAGGTATATTTATTGAAGAATTCTCTTAATTGTTGAAATGATGTCGTCCACACAGTGGATTTTATTGAGTCAGTAGAGAGTACATGAGAATAAGGAGTATATATACAGATAACAGATACACACACAAACACACGCATACACATACACACACATAAACATGCACACACACTCTCTTTATCTATCTGTCTATCTGTCTATCTCTCCTTCTTGTACACAATCAAATGAATGAATGTACCTCCTCCAGTGCCGCCGCCGCCACCAGGTCTGACGCCGCCGCCAGGTATTAGGCCGCCGCCAGGTCTGACGCCACCGCCAGGTATAAGACCGCCACCAGGTCTTACGCCACCGCCAGGTATAAGGCCGCCGCCAGGTCTGACGCCACCTCCAGGTATGACGCCACCGCCAGGTCTGACGCCACCGCCAGGTATGACTCCACCGCCAGGTCTTCCAGTGTCAGGTCTGTAAGTGGTAGGCGTAGTGCCGCCGCCGTCTGTAGTGCCACCGCCGCCTCCGCCCACACCGCCGCCGCCCACACCACCACCACCCACACCACCACCGCCAACACCGCCACCTCCCACACCGCCACCGCCCACACCACCACCACCCACACCTCCACCGCCCACACCACCACCAACACCACCACCGCCCACCCACCACCAACACCACCACCAGCCACACCTCCCCCGCCCACACCACCACCGCCCACACTTCCACCGCCCACACCTCCACCGCCCACACCACCGCCACCCACACCACCTCCGCCCACACCACCACCACCCACACCTTCCCCGCCCACACCGGTACCGGGGCCAGTATATGTACAATCCCTCTCAAAATAAGTGGTTCCTGGACGGTTCTGGAGAGCGCTGCTTCCTCCTCCAGACACTGCAAAGGAAAGTACACTGTTAGGAAGTGCCTTAAAGGTCTTCAGAAAGTACCTTGAAGATCTTTAGAAGGTACCTTAAAGATCTTCTGGAGTACCTTAAAGGCCTTCAGGAAGCACCTTGAAGATCTTTAGAAGATACCTTAAAGATCTTCAGGAGTACCTTAAAGGTCTTCAGGAGGTACCTTAAAAGTCTTCAGGAGGTACCTTAAGTCACTAAATTAAAAGAATTCAAATTAATGAAGAAATTAATAATATTTTAAGAAACTGAAAATAAGAATTATGGAAAATAAAATAGTCAACAGAGAGAAAAACACATGAGTTTATCCGCATCAACAGAGACAAGAAGTCACCTACAGCAACCGGGAGGAGAACGCGAGTTCACTCGCGCCAACAGAAACAGGAACATTATATTAACTGTATATAATACTGACCATTAGTTACATTACACACATGTTCAACAAATCGCCATTTTCACTGTCATCTCTGTATTCACCTGAAGAAGGCTGCCGAACAGGCGAAACATAAATAACAACAGAAACGTCATGTGGAGAAATTTTCTCCAGGAGGGGGGTATCAGCCCCCTTCAGCCCCTTTCAGCCCTTTCAGCCCTGAGGGGCCCAGCCCTCTCAGAAGGGGCAAGCGTCTTGTTTACTGCTACAGTGAGTAATTGATCCCAGATGCAGTACCAGTATGCAACGTATGGTCAAGCGACCGCTGCTCCGTGCAGTCCAGTGTTGCAGAGTGTATTTTAATAAGAGACAGTACATCTCTTACCTTAGCAGGACAATTAAGGAAAATCCTGCTCCCACTTTATTACCATAGTAAAGATAGTGGACATTGTTGTCTATGCTTAAGACAGCAAGAATCAAACATTCTGCTTTGCTTCATCGAGGAAGTGGCAAGGAAGCAAAAGTACTAGGTCAGCTTTTCCTTTGTGCTGGGGGCAGTAACGGCGTGGGGTGCTGTGGCGTCTTCAGATTACTTTTGACTCTACTGAGAGTGACACTGACGCCAGGATAACCAACAAAGAACGATCTGTGCGTTAGTGTGAACAAAGTGTCTCATAAACCACAATAAACACTTAAGAGAAGTGTAATCAGCTTCTTTAGTGATAAGATTGTGAACAATAAAGACAAATCTTGTGGAACATAGTGTACCAGTGTGCGTATTCCTAGACTATGGAAGACGTGGACATCCAAGGACACTTCAGCTTCTATCAAGTCACCGATACCTGTCGAAGGTGTGAAGAACACCATAGCTCACGCTACAAGAGCAAGGTAGGTTACGAATTTCTTGTAGTACGGGGGACTGCGCAGTTCTTGAGCGGCAAGGAGTTTGTAATCAACCTATAGTCGGCAGTAAGGGGCGGACTTTTGAGTCCACACAAGTAAGTTTGTCAGCCATCAGTGAATGAAATATGCTGACATAACACCCCCTAGGGGTAAATTATTGTTTACATAATATGATCTATTCCAGCCCGTTGAGAGATGATCATGACAACAATTCAAGACCTCGTCTGCAGGGGCGGCTGTGTAGACGATTTGCTGTCTTTCTAAGTTAAGTTTTTCCTATATTTAATAAGCTTAGCTGGTAATGCCATTTCTCAACACGTCACAATACTGTGACTGGAACAACACGCAAATAACCCGCACATAGGAGAGAGAGAAGCTGACGACGACGTTTCGGTCCGACTTGGACCATTTACAAAGTCACACTAACAGAAAAGAGTGAAAGAGCCAGTGTATATATAGAATAGAGGGAGAGGGACGGGACCAAGAGAGGAAGAAAAAGAAGTAGTGATAGTGGTAATACTGGTAGTGGAAGTAATAGTAGAAGTACGTGTGTCTCAGAAATAGGAACACTCACCCATATCATCGCCTGATATGAAACACTGAGAGGCGGTGGGAAAATATGAGATGGAACGGCAGTTGAACTTGCGGTAGCTGGTACACGCTCTCTGACACTGTTGTTCTGACACCACACGTTCAATGGTGTCGTCCAGATAGAGGGGGTAGGCTCCGTCCGTCTTCCTAAAGGGGCAAGTCACGTCCACTGTGGGGTAGAGATATCGGGGGGACAGGTAAGTGGAACGTATGGAACGTTTGTGTAGAAGGGTTAGTGGAACGTTTGTAATCCTAGGTCATCTGTATCAAGGATAAATTAGATGCTAATTATTTTGCTTCTTAAATTCAGAGAAAGAGCCAGCACAGTACTCACCTGAGGATAACTGGTTCTCCAGGTATCCCAGGACAGTACTCACCAGGGACACACTGGAACTCCAGGAATCCCAGTACAGAACTCACCTGGAACACACTGGTTCTCCAGGTATCATATTACAATACATACCTGCAACACACTGGTTCTACCAGGTATCCCAGCACAGTACTCACCAGGGACACACTGGTTCTCCTGGTATCCCAGCACAGTACTCACCTGGAGCACACTGGTTCTCCAGGTACTCCACCGTCGTGGCAGCTGTGACATATTCCTGAGGGTTGGACCTTCTGTCGCTCCTGCTGAGGCGACAATTAAGTGTCGCCGAGTCGTACTCAGCTGACCTGCACAGGAAGGTCGTCTCCTGAAGACACGCCTGTACAATGGAGAGAATACACTACAGTAAGTTAAAAAGCTTTTCTACAAAGCTCATTTTTTTGTAAACACGATTGAAATGGCTCATCAAAAATTTTGTCGCGCTTAGGAAGGGCCTTCAAAGTACGCACTTTTCGGTAATAAATGCACTTTCTCAGCCATGTTTACAAATACGTCACACTAAACAGAACTTTATAAGAAAACTGACTGTAAAACAAACTAGTTTCCCCAAGGCTTCAATGATTCTTTCTTGACCTGAAAGCTCTTACAGAAATTAAAGGTGTAACTTACACAATACTGGATCATGTATGAAGTTATTGTTCATTAGACTTTAGATTATTAAAATTATTAATGTGATTTGAAGCCTATCGACTACACGAGGGTCATTAAGTCTGCACGTAACCTTTTCACAACTAGATAAAATATTCTTTCATCCCTAAAGTAAGGATTAAAGTCAGCTTTCAGTGTATATACACTGAGATATACACCTCTCAGTGTATATACACTGCATATAAACCTCTCTGTGTATACATCCCAAGTAATGTTTAAAAGTAAAGAAATATAGTAATACCAAACATGTATATGTATTTTTGACATGCCGATGGCAGAGTCTATTAAGAAAATAAAAAATATATATTTTCTATTATATTGTATTAAAAATTACATTATTATTTTTAACTAAATTTTACCCCTCGGGTAATATTTTCTTAACTGTTTATTTTCTTCCCTTTATTCTCAAGTAACTCCCAGTATTTCCGTCTTTAACACATAACAACACCAAAAATTACTAAATAATCTTCATAATTTGACAATAACGTGAAAATATATTACAGAAAATCACTAATAAGGAAGGTAAGTATTCGGCGTAATGTTTTTTTTATTTAGTGATACTATTTTTGCCGTGTTATGGGCGGTACTTGTTACGTGGGTTAATGACACCATCACCAACAGCCCAGCTGATCAGAGACCTTTCTGCCATTATCATACGGAGTACCGAGCCTCTAGCCACTCTTGACGCTGGATGACCCACGCGCTAAACCCATGGAGGTCATCCAGCGAGTCCAGAGGTACAATGATTGTGGTTCCTACCTCAATACAATCACGTCGGCTCTGCACTAAGGTCCTCTGGCGATCGTCAAGGCCACGGAGCTCCCTGCCTGGCACTCTCTCGAAGTGCCACTTGTTCTCACGGCACTGCGGTGGTATGGCAGCTGACGGGATAAAACATTTATCATTGGTCGAATATGATACCGAGAAGGTAGTGAATAAGACACATGGTACACACCTCTTACCAAGGCTGAGGGACTGATTACTTGAAAAACTACTTCAACGGTCTCCATTGTAATATTCACTTGTTTTCGACTAAAGAAACCTGTTGTACAAGAGGAACGTTTCGCTAAGGAAGATACCCAGGTGTTGCTGGTGTGTCTTACTCACTGAGAAACATTTGATTATCAGATTATAGTGATTTATATTCATTCATTTAGGTCATAGTTAATGAAGGAATGTCGAGGCTTTCTCTTCCGTGAAATTTTTTCTATGGCTGTTGTGTAAGATATTTATTTTGTTTACGTCTTGCCTTGAAATTGCAATACTTTATTAATCTTAGGTGTCTAGTGCCTCTGTGTTCTTGTCTCTAACATTTAGTGATAAGTCTAACCAGTCACACAGCCATATAAGAGATGTGTAGCAGTGTTACACTGAGCTTTGCTTCCTCAACCAAACTCCCGGAAGGACGGATGCTTAGCACTGACCCGCTGACGAAGGTCATGTCAGAGTTGTTATAAAAATGAAATATGTGTCTTACTCATGTCTAAGTCTTATTTATTTTGCATCTTCTACATCTTCAGATCTCTGTAGTCTTTTGCCTTCTACACCTTCTGCACTGTACATTCTATCTTAATCCTATACATTTTCCATCCTACCTACATCCTATACTCTCTCCATCCTACGTACATTCTCTACGGTCTGCAGCAATTGCTCTCCACATCCTCTGCATCCCGTGCAAGAGAAAATCCCCCAAAGGAAACCCAAAGGCTCACCTCTGACACAGATCTTTTCGAAGTAGCTCTTTCCCGGGGAGCTGACGATTTCTTGTCCTCGACCCTGTGTATTACGATCCAGCTTGAAGCATCGGTTGTTGCGGTAGTCTACAGCGAAGGCAGGACACTCACCGGAGTCATCTAGGCACCGTTTGGCACACTTCTGCAACAGTAAAGACAATATTACGACCTGTACGGTTCAAAGTACAAGCTAGAAATTTTTAGGTATAAAAAAGATCACAATACGGTGACTGGAACGATTTACAAATAACTCGAAAATTAGTTGGATTGATTTTAAGTGACTTTCACATGCACTAATGCTCTCTGGCTTAATGTTTTGGTAGTATTAGTTGTAATCTCGTGAAATCAATGCCAGTTTTGTGTAGTTTGTCTTGGCTGCTCACAGCTAAGCACGAGTAACGTGAGCTAAAACTGTGTGACATCGGTAAAAAACAAATCCGATTGACCCCCATATGACGGATATTGAATTTAAGTGACCTGTATACATGTGATAGGATCTGCGCTAAGTCAGTCAACACCTCTAAACAGCAACTTCAGAAAAGAAATAAACAGTAATGACTTGTCAAGATCTGAAATGACCTGGAATAAAATCCTTAACCTGACCTAACCTGATAACTGAGACACATATGCAACACTCAGGTATCTTTATCGTCGATACATTTCTCCAAGCTTGTTAACTCGAACCTTGCACTCGACTGAAGAAGCCTGTTGCGCAAGGCGAAACAGTTCGTTAATAAAGACACACACGAGGCCTGGACACGCGCCGGGCCACAGGGGCATTGACCCCTCATAATACCCTCCAGATATACTCCCTCCAGATAAGTTTTGACATGTGTCTTACTCACCAACTAGCCAGTATTACATACTGTTAAAATGACATATACTAACCTCACTGATTCCCCCCGGGGTGGTATCAAGCTGGTACAGAGTCTCCCTGGCTGTCCTCACTGTCTGTCCTGTGATCTTCTCGTATATGATGGTACCTTGATCCCTGTCACACTGACCTGGCCCAGGGACACAACACTTAGTCCTTTTTATAAATTTGGTTTACATTGTATAAACCATATTTTTTTTTTTTCGAAAGTGATGGAATTCTATTTATTTTTTGTATCTGTTTTTAAAGGTTTTTGTTATTTTGTAGGAATTTTTAAATATAAATACATAAATGTAACTTTGTTCAAATATTTTGTGTTGGAATGTAGGTGTGTGTACTTACCTATATGTGGTTGCAGGCGTCGAGTCACAGCTCCTGGCCCCTGTTCATATGTGTGTATGTACTCCCTTATTTGCATTCGCTTATTTGTGATTATAGGGGTCGAGTCACAGCTCCTGACCCCTGTGTATGTGTGTGTACGTAAGGGTGTATGTGTGTACGTGTGCACTTACTGACTGTACACTGCTTCTCTCCAGTGACCACCCCCTGCATGTACGGCAGTACAGTCTGGTTCAACGAAACGGAATCATCTCCTGAGAGATAACATCTGTGGGAGAGAGATAAATATTATCCCAGTAATAATAATAATAATAATAATAATAATAATAATAATAATAATAAATAATAATAATAATAATAATAATAATAATGAATAATAATAATGATAATAATAAATAATAATAAAATAATATAAATAATAATAATAATAATAATAATAATAATAATAATAATAATAATAATAATAAATAATAATATTATTATTATTATTATTATTATTATTATTATTATTATTATTATTATTTATTATTGTTTGTTGTTGTTGTTGTTGTTGTTGTTGTTGTTGTTGTTGTTATTGTTGTTGTTGTATTTACGGAGAAAAGCAGGGGGGAATGGGAAATCATCAGCTCTAATTTATGTGGAAGGTAGTTCCAATTCCTGGGATCAAGAGCTCTCCTCGAGCTTCAGATCAGCCCCTGTACGACTCACTTGTTCTGTTACTCACCTCTTCTCCACTTGCTCACCTCTTCTGGTGATACTTACCTCTTCTCCTGGGTAGCGAAAGTGTAGGAACGACAGGTTATGATGCGCGACTTGTCGCAGAGACTCTCGCAGTCGCTCTGGATGTTAGCGAACTCGAGCGCGTCGAGCGACACGACCATCACGTCGTTCTGCACCGTGTAACGACAGTCAGGCAACACTGAGAGAGAACGACACGATTACGTGGAGAGAAGAGAGAGAGAGAGAGAGAGAGAGAGAGAGAGAGAGAGGCACAGAGAGACACAGAGAGAACGAGACGAACAGTGATTGACAGATATGATCATTAAAAAAATTGAATGCGGTCTAAGGCATTTAATTAAGACGTTTCTCCAACCAGGTGAGAGCTGATAAAAGTCTCTGTTGGACGACATGTTTTCTCAATAAAATGCCCTAAACAACACATCGATGTTTTTATTAAAACAATGACCAGTAGGCCTCCTGCAGTGCTCCTCCGACCTCATGTTTTTTGTTTCAGTAGAGAAATAAGGTACTGTACTCACTGCGGGCGCACTGGTTCTCCATGTAGTCGATCAGAGAGCCAGGAGAAGCAACGAAGGCATTTGGTTTTGTCCTCCTGTCCTCTCTGCTGAGTCTACATATCCTCCTCGTTAGGTCGTACTCGCAAGACCTGTGGAGTAGAGTACATGTTGGGTAATGAAGATGAGGGAGGAGGGAGGGAGGAATGGTGGAGTGAAGGAGGAGGATGCTGGGGATGGAAGAGGTGAGGGGGAATGTTGATTGCTGAAGTGAATGAGGGGGGGTAGAGAGTGCTGTTGGAGGGAATGGAGGGATGGGAGGGAGGAAAGAAGGGAGGGGGAGAGAGGGAGGGAGAGAAAGGAAGAGAGGGAAGATGTTGAAAATGCTAATGAATGAGATCGTAAAATGATAGATGAAAAATGAGCGAAATATATTCACTCACGCCACTCTCTCACTCACTCACTCACTCACTCATCCTCTCAGACTCACCTACAAGCGAAGTCAGTCTCAGTAAGGCAGAGTTTGAGACATTCAGCTCGGGAGTCAATGTTAGGTACGGACTTGTTATCGAAGCCCTCCAGGTAGGCGTCCAACACTCTCTCGAAGGCCCAGAGGCGCTCCTGACCACACAGCAAGTTGTAGTCCACTGTGGGAGAGGTCAAAGGTCAGCACTCAGAGGGTAGAGACACTCTGATGACCAAGGGAATAAATGATGGTAGAAACAGGGAAAGATTATATTTTAGGGCATATCATTGAAGACATCAGCAAGATATCACTAATGTACTAACAGTGCAGCTTTCAGAGTGATATCATTACTGTACGGACTAACAATAAAAACTTCAGCAACATATGATTACAATAATGATATCCCCCTACTTACTATTACGACTACTAGTTCTACTACTACTACTACTACCAGCATTACCTCTGCCACTACATTATTTCATTTTCTTCCTCTCCTTGTCCCGTCCCTCTCCCTATCTCCTATATATTCTGGCTCCCTCACCCTCATAAGGCTGAAGCTTTTTAGTATCACTACCGTCATGAATGTGAGTCAAAACATCTCCATTCCTACTTTATGTGGAGCACAGCCGGTCCAACATGCAAGACGGCTGCCACCCACCTCTCCGTGGGCTTATAAGGCTTACACTAACCTCCTCGTAGGCAGATCTTCTCGTAGTAATTCGTAGCTGCCTTGGGTGTTAGTGATCTTCGCCGACCTTCGGACGTTCGGTCAAAGGAAACGCAACTGGAAGTGGTGAAGTCTGAAGAAGAAACAGATGTAGGAGAAGGAAGAGGAAAAGAAGAAGAAGAAAGATGATGAGAAACATCAGCAGAAGCACAATGATAAGGATTGGATGAGAAAAAGAGGAGAGACAAGAAAAGGACGAGAAGGTAGAAGTAGAAAGGATAATGTAGACGAGCAATAGCAAAAGGAGAAGAAGAAGGACGATTAGGAGAAGAACGTCAGAAGAGGAGAAAATAATGAAAGCGAAATAGGGAGAGGGGAAAGACAAGAGGAAGAAGAGAAGAGACAAGGAACAAGGGAGAAAAATTTGTCATTAATGACAATATAATAACTGAATATATTTCTTATTAACTTAAGGAGTACTGGAACATAATAATAATAATAATAATAATAATAATAATAATAATAATAATAATAATAATAATAATAATAATAATTAATATATAATACAAGCATTTCTACCTGAGAAGCAAAAATAACTATTTTTAAAACTTCTCTAAGACAGCTTTCTCCTCAAAATATAATATATTATTTTTAGAAGTGAAAAAATCCATAACTTGTCTCGTTAAAATTTGCTTTATGGTGAGAAATTAATAACACCTAATAAACATTGCATAACACTGAACTATTTAAAAAAGTAAAATAATTAAATAATTAGTATAACTTAAATTACAATGCTTCCTTTTTCTCTTTATAATTTATGAGATAAATCTGCAAATTTGCTTCCTTTAAATGTAATTAAAGGTCATATGTAATTAAAAAGTCTAGGGAATTTTGTTGTCATATTTCACTAATCATCTGAATATATAAACTATACAACGAGAGGATATGTTTCACTGTACAGTATATAGGGTATACTGTGCAGTATATAATGTATATAGTATATACACTGAAAGCTTATGTTAATTCCTCTGTTTTGGTATTAAAGTATTCTTGACTGGTGGTGAACAGGTGACGTGCAGCCTTAATGGCCCTCGTGTAGTAGACTTGAAACTCCCCTTAACCGACCAACTAGCCATTTGTGGTTTGAAAGTTAGTGTATAGCTCTCGTTTACACACATTCACAGGCACATACACACAGACATTCACACATAGACACTCACACACAGGACAAGAGGGTTAAGGGAGACATGATAATAACATACAAAATACTGCATGAAATAGACAAGGTGGACAGAAACAAGTTGTTCCAGAGATGGGACACAGAAACAAGGGGTCACAATTGGAAGTTGAAGACCAAGATGATTCAAAGTGATGTTAGGAAGTATTTCTTCAGTCATAGAGTAATCAGGAAGTGGAATAGCCTAGCAAGTGATGTAGTGGAGGCAGGAACCATACATAGCTTTAAGATGTGGTATGATAAAGCTCATGAAGCAGGGAGGGAGACGACCTAGTAGCACTCCGTGAAGAGGCAGGGCCAGGAGCTGAGTCTCGACCCCTGCAACCACAATTAGGTGAGTACACACACTCGCACACACACACACACACACACACACACACACACACACACACACACACACACACACACACACACACACACACACACACACACACACACACACACACACACACATAGGCGGGGCCAGCAGCTAGGCAACCACAAATAGGTGAGTACACAAATGGTACATAGGTACAATGATATTAGTTATCTCTCTCTCTCTCTCTCTCTCTCTCTCTCTCTCTCTCCTCTCTCTCTTCTCTCTCTCTCTCTCTCTCTCTCTCTCTCTCTCTCTCTCTCTCTCTCTTACCTACAGAAAAGGAGCTACACTGAGGATTGTTTTTGCAGACACTGTTGCACTCGTTAGTCACTGCTGCGTCTTGCTTGCTGAGCAGTGGCTGTGACGGCT